GGGTACCTTTTACCTTTAGCCTTATTTTCGTACACCTCAGGAAAAGGAAATTATTTTTGGCTATGATACAAAGGACACTCCTTGATAGGCCTGCTGTACACATTTTCACAAGTTGGTTCATTTTCTTAAAGGCTTAGGGGAATATTTGGAAATCTCATTTCTGAAACCTTGCACAGCAATAAATCCAACTGTTTGGCTGGGTGTGCTATCAACATTGTTAGCATTAGCTCGTTACATAAGCTCAAAATGACTACTTTCTACGTATATTCTAACTGCCAGATGAAGATTTAAATACAAGATATATACAAGACTAGAAGCTGGGACAGTGCAGTCAGTATAGCGACTGGCTACAGGCTGGACGAATGAAAGGTTGAAGTTCAAGTCTAGGTAGGGTCAAGAATTTTCACTTCTCCATGTAGTCCAGACCAGCTCTAGGGTTCACTTAACCTCCTATACAATGGGTATTGGGGGCTCTTTCCCAGGGGTCTGACCTGGGCCGACCTGGTGGGAAGCCGGTGACTAACAGCCTGAACTATGGCACGGCTTTGTTTAGAGTTACAACATTTGATACTATATGACCCATGCAGTTGAAACAGCATCGTTAAATACCTAACAATCAACCTTCAATACCAAAAGATCTGTTTACTGACAGTAGGGGCGTGGAGGAGTGCAGATTGCACTGTGACTTCAGACAGTGTAACTGCTATGTATTTAAAATGCACACATATGGCTCTTCCTTTATTCTGAGCCTCTAATTTTTCGCATCAGTAAGAAACTAACAAAAATCTTGCTTGTGCTCCCAGCATAAAAAGATCTAAAGAAATGGCCAGAGATTGATATAATCTTACCAACTGACTTAAACATTACTACAGCCTCTTGGAGCTAAATTTTCTTACAAAACTTAGCAAAGAGAAACTCTCTCTTCCATTCTCTTCATGTGAGAAGACGACTTTTTGTACTCGTATATCCTGTCCAACAAGCGCAGAAAATTAACACATAATGGAAAGATCATGGTATGTCTATTTCACCTTCAAATCAACTCAATGGATTTTTAAGAAATATAGAATTGGTGTGTCCACACTAAAAAGTTTCAGGTAAATTTAATTTTGCTTTGTGTCAGTCCATATAACCCTCTACTTTACAGGAAACTCAAAATCAAACTGTATCACTTTTTTCCAAAAGTGGCTTATAGGACAAAATATTAGTTGACTAATATGAATAACATCAAACCTGCCCCAAACATGTCCGTATAGACTCATACCAAATTTCGTCAAAATTCACAAGTAATTTTTGAAATAAAATATGTGAAGAAATCACTGTTTACACATGATACACCCACTCTGCAATCCCTTTATGCATTTTGAAGCAAAGAAAGCAAAAATAAATTGTGACATCAGAACAACTGAAGATGTCTCAGATTGAAAAATGAGGCTCTCTTCCATGTCCAGTGAAACAACTGAGCTGGAAAGGCAGTCCCTGCTGTGTCTACCATGATCTTATGTGGTCAATACTTAGACATCAGTCCTCTACCCTGTATAATTTACACATATCTGAAAAGGTGGCACAACTATAAAACCATTTTGAAACCTTCTGGTTCATATCTTAAAGAGTTACTCATTTTACAAAACAATAACCTGTAGGCTTGGCATGGAGAGGGCCATTACCTGGTTTCCTAATCACAGAAACTGTTGCCACTGGGATGGTTCTCTTATCTTTCTGCCTGCAGCTGGGCTGCTTTCAGAATATCTAGGTCTGCAATGCTTTCTGGTTCAAGATCTGATGAGAGCTGAGAGCGTACTCTGCTGATTTCTAACTGTGTGTCCACTAATTGAGCTGCTAAGCGACATATTTTCCTACGCATTATTTCGTTTTCTTGCTCTATGTCATGTAAGCTCATCTCCTCCAATGGCCGTTTATAGCTCTTGCTACGGCCAACTGCTGTCTTGACATAGGTTCTCTCCAGGTTGGGTTTCTCTGCTTCCAACTGGCGAATCTAAAAGCAGGAATTCATGAGGAGTAATTGCACTGACTATGCAAATGTGATCCCTGTTCATACTGTTCAATAATATTGTATCCCTACACTACCAGAACATGCGCTCACACGCACGCACACACACACACACACACAATACACTGACTGAATGGGGCCACAAGGTCAACCTTTGCAGATGATGATGATGAACAAAATGTCTTAAACAATTACCATTAAGAATCTAATAATTTCACATGTGGCCAAGGAATCTGCTGTACTTTTGATGGGTCTAAGGGTTCATTACTGGGTTCACAAGTGATCACCACTGGATGCTAATTTTAGACAGATAAAGAGAAGACACTGGCTGCCAAAGTCTTGTTTTTACATCATGATGAATCTGTTGTGTAAGCACTTCAGTAACAAACAATGACACACTTTATTGCAAAGCCCAATGATGGTCAAATGACCAAAACATGTAGCCCAGTGACATTTCAATAAACATAGATTACTGAAAACCAAATGTTGCGACCGACAGATATGCCTCATTACCCTTGGTGGCCAAAATAACATTCTAAGTTTTTATCCTACAAACTCTTTGATGAACAGCCGCACATTTAAAAAAAAGGCAATTAGTACACAAAGAAAAATACTGATTTCTCCCAGAAATAGTTCTATTAAATTTGTCTACACCAACAGCAAATTTTGCGTTCTAACTACATAGGAAATTGTCACCTTACGAGGGGCATTCAAGTTCTAAGGTCTCCGATTTTTTTTCTCAGGACTGGGAGCAGACATGACACATGACACAGCAGTAGACACATGCGGTTTAGTTTAAAATACGTGTGCACTCTTTGTGAATGTGTGACAGAGATGGCAGCACTGTACGACACACAGAACTCTAGTGGTGGCGGCGAGAGTGAGGAATGTTTTTGATACGTAAAATGGCGACCTTTTTCGTTACACTAACAGCGAGTAATCATTCGTTTTCTCCACTTGCGTGGTGCAACACCCATTGAAATTCATCGCCAGTTGAGTGAGACGTGCGGTGATGGTGTCATGAATGTGAAAAATGTACGCTTGTGGGTGCAACAGTTCAAAGAAGGCCGAACATCGTGTGACAACGAACCAAAACAATCTCGGCCTCGCACCAGCCAGTCTGACAACATAGTCGAGCGAGTTGAGAAAGTTGTTTTGGAGGATCGCCGATTGAGTGTGGAAAACATCGCTTCCAAAGTTGGCATTTCTGTGGGATCTGTGCACAAAATCCTGCATGAAGACCTGCGAATGTGGTAAGTGTCCGCCAGGTGGGTGCCACGAATTCTGACGGACGACCACAAGACTGCGCGCGTGGTAATTTGCCAGGCGATGTTGACACGTGATGAAGACATAAATGGGACTTTCTTTTCATCAACTGTGACAATGGATGAGACATGGATGCCGTTTTTCAATCCTGAAATGAAGCGCCAGTCACCTCAATGGAAGCACACAGACTCACCGCCACCAAAAAATTTCTGGTAAGTGCCAATGCTGAAAAAATGGTGGCCATGTTTCGGGATAGCAATGGCGAAATCCTTACTCATTGCGCTCCAAAGGGCAATACGGTGACAGGTGCATCCTACCAAGATGTTTTGAAGAACAAGCTCTTTCCAGTACTGCGAGAAAAACGGCCATAAAAGGCTGCGTGTGTGCTCTTTCACCAGGACAATGCATCAGCGCATCGGGCTTACGCGACGCAGGAGTTTCTTCGTGAAAACAACCTTGAAGTGGTTTCTCATGCTCCCTACTCACCTGACCTGGCTCATAGCGATATTTGGCTTTTCCCAACGATGAAAGGCACTCTCCGTGGTCTCACATTCACCAGTCATGCCGCTATTGCATCAGCAATTTTCCAGTGGTCAAAACAGACTCCTACAGAAGCGTTCGCAGCGGCCATGGACTCATGGTGTCGACGTTGTGAAAAATGTGTACAGCTGCAGGGAGATTACGTTGAAAAGTGACAGAAGTTTCACATTTTTTGTATGATAATTGTGGGAGAAAAAAAAATCGGAGACCTTAGAACTTGAACGCACAACGTATAAAGATGAATATGATAAATATAAGAGATGTCAGTGTGAAAAAACTTCTGGGGCGGTAAACAGTACATTAAAACAACAAAGGTAATCAAATATTAATTTTAAGACATTCCTGTACTCATTACATGGAAGTGGAGCTAAACTTACAAAGGGCCACTTTTTTTAGTAAAACTGAAGTGGCAGAAGAGGATATTTCAAAACGATATTAAAATGTATGTACCTAAATATGTGTTCAATAATTGGAATAGTTGATTACAACAGAACGGTCAACCTCTTCAATGGAACAGATAGTGATTGGCTCCTAGTTAGAAACCTAATGAATCGTACAGTATTATATTTAAGCATCCTGTTATACTCACACAATATATATGACACAAACTCCGTCTTAAGTGCAACAATTTAACTGTAGTTCTTTCTTCTTCCCTTCCTCCTACATGTTTCGGCCCTAAATGGCCATCATCAGGTGTGTATTCTTACGTAGCTGCTACACTGCGCGTAGTTTAAAATTTAAAATCACCAGTCTTTCCAATTGTATGCATGTATGTATGTATGAAATCTTTGTTAACCTACAAGCGTCAATTTGATTTCTAAAATTGGCACTTTTTTAAAATTTCAATTCAAATTAAAATGTCTATAAATTTTCTGTTCTTTTTCTTTTTTTAATTAAAATTTTCTCGGGGTACACGCCCTATGTCTATAGTGCTGCAGCGGCTACTTCTTGTTTTATCGCTGTTCAGGTATTGTCTGTAATATACAAATATTCGTATTACTATGTTATGTTATGTTATGTTATGTTATTCTTATATGTTTATACTGTTATTTGTACTTACTCTGTGTAGGCTCTNGTCTGTTATTGTTCTGTATGCATGTCCTGTATTTAGTATGTGATTTGAGTACCCGGAATTGCTATTATTATTTCTAATATCATGTATATGTTCTTTATATTTAGCGTTAAATGTTCGGCCCGTTTGCCCAATGTATTTCAATGGGCAATTTACACATTTCGTTTGGTATATGCCACTTCTATTGTATTTGTCCAATTGTGGTTTTTGTTTGAGTGTGTTTTCTATTGTGTTTCGTGTGCGGAATGCTATTTTTATCTGCATGTCTTTAAAAAGTTTTGTAATTTTTCTTCCTTCTTTTGTACTATATGTAAATATGGCCCACTTTGTTTTTTGTTGTTGTTCGTCGTCATTTGTGTTTGATTTTTGTTTTCGTTTTGTCTGATTCGATCTTTTGATTATGTTTGTGTCGTATCCGTTGTTATTTAGTATGTTTCTAATAGTGTTCTTCTCTATTTGTTTTCCTTTTTCTGTTATTGGGTATGTGTAGAGTCTATTCATTAAGTAATTAATACCTGACAATTTGTGCTTGAATGGATGGCATGAGCTGCTAGGTATCATGATGTCCGTTTGTGTGGGTTTTCTATATATTTCGAATTGCAAGCTATCTTCATTACGATGTATTGTTATATCTAGAAAGTTAATAGATTCTTGTTGTTCTCTTTCAATTGTGAACTTTATAGTTGGTTGCAATTCGTTAATTTCTTTGAGTGTATGTTCTATGTTCATTATTTTTTCATCATATATTATTAATATGTCATCAACATATCTAAAGTAAGCCACTATATGTTGTTTTTGAATATTTCCCATTCTAGTAAATCTAGAATCTATAGCAATCTATATAAATAAAAATGTAAATGTTCGTTTGTTCAAAGTCTTAAATCCCCGAAAGTTCTTCACTGATTGCTTTGAAATTTTGATACAACGTTGCATTCAAATAAGCACGTTTTTATATACCTATTATATAGATGTCACATCTGTGACAGGTAAAAACATGTCACATGTTCGGAATCCAGGAGTCACTTCCATAGTAACGCTAGAACAGACCCTTGCATAGGTAGCGACAATAGCGCTATTGTAGCCCCAACAGTTGGTTGTTGCCTAGGAAGTAACAATAGCGATACTGTAATCCCAACAGTGAGCTGTTGTGTTGAGAACATCGAATCTCCACGGTTACGACGAATACATGGAGCATTCCCACAGAGACAATGCAATAACAATGGGTCGTTGCGCAGGAATCGAAGAATCAACAAAGCAGTGTTTCCCTGGTGATAGACAACAGAAGGCATTGTATAGCAACCGCAGAGGTATATACAGCCCAGCTTCAACAATTCAATCAATTTGGAATGCCATCACAGAACTGATCTGCTGCTGCTTCGTTCAATGTAGAATTGCGTCGTGAACAAAATTACAACATGGGTGATCTTTTGTCGTATGTGCAATCAAATATTCCTAAGCTAATGCTTGAGCAAAAAGGCATATACAATCAAATCATGAAAACTGTCAATAACAGGGTTGCAGAAATCTTCTTCTTAGATGCGCCAGGAGGAACTGGTAAAACATTCCTAATTAGATTGATTCTGGCAGCAATTCAATCCCAAAATGACATAGCCTTAGCTCTTGCATCGTCCGGAATAGCTGCGACATTGCTACCTGGTGGAAGAACTGCTAAGTCCGCTTTGAAATTGCCATTGAACATGCAATTCATTGAAACTCCCACATGCAACATTTCCAAAGCATCAGGCATGGGAAAGGTATTGCAGAAATGCAAACTTATTGTTTGGGATGAATGCACAAGGGGGCACAAAAAATCGCTCGAGGCTTGTCATCGATCATTGCAAGATTTCTGTGGAAACATCAGACCATTTGGGAACACATTAATATTGCTTGCGGGAGATTTCAGGCAAATATTACCTGTAATTCCTCGATCGACACCAGCGGACGAAATAAATGCTTGCCTGAAATACTCTTACTTTGTGACGACATGTAAAGACGTTAAAATTAACTACAAATATGCGTGTCCAGCTGCAAAACGATCGATCAGCTGAGATATTCTCACATCAATTGCTGGAAATTTGGAACGGAAAGGTGCCAGTTGATCTGACTTCAGGACAAATTTCATTGCCTCATAACTTCTGCAATTTAGTGACGTCAAAAGAAGAATTGGTTGAAAAAGTATTTCCCAATATTCAAACCAATTATAAGAATCACGACTGGCTGAGTGAACGAGCTATTCTTGCAGCCAAGAACAAAGACATCTACGAACTTAACAATATCATTCAGTCTAACATTCAATGCGAGGCAGTCACATACAAGTCCGTCGACACTGTTGTGGAAGCAGATGAAGTGGCTAATTATCCAACAGAATTTTTTAATTCACTCGATCTCCCAGGGATGCCACCGCACGTACTGCAATTGAAAATAGGTGTGCCAATTATCATGTTGCGAAATATCAACCAGCCAAAGCTTTGCAACGGCACGCGGCTTGCAGTAAAAAAATTATTGAGCAACGTCGTAGAAGCAACAATCTTGACAGGACCTTTCAAAGGTGAAGATGTCCTCGCATTCCTATGATTCCAATGGATGTGCCATTACAATTTAAGAGATTGCAATTCCCAATTCGATTGGTGTTTGCAATCACCATCAACAAAGCTCAGGGCCAATCTTTAGAATTGTGCAGTTTAGATCTAGACACGGGTTGCTTCTCACATGGACAATTACATGTTGCATGTTCTAGAGTCGGCAAACCAGACAATCTCTATATCTGCACAGACAATGGAACAACAAAAAATATTGTATATCCACAAGCATTGTGAAACTAAACATATTAGAAACGTGCGCTTTCTCTTTTCTTTGTTTTCCATTTAACCAGACTGAGCCACAGCAACGCGTGGCTGGGTACCGCTAGTTAAGAATAACAATAACACATACTGGTTGTCTTTAAATAGTAATAGGCAACATTCAATAGTATTAACACTGTCACATTTGAAATGGCTTCAGTGCAGAGACTCAGAGCTCATCAACCATTTTGCAGGAAAACCCTTACAAGTTTTCATGTATTACCTAAAGAAGAAAAAGATGTGTTCATCACAATAAATAAGTAAAGGTTAAGTGAAACTGAACTAGGTATAAAATATACAATATATATTGAATATTCTAGTAATTCAGACTTTCTTCATATCTGATTGGGGCACCTGCTGATGGATTGAGATATAAGAACTGATTATGGCTGTAGCTAATGGGTTGGTGAAACTCACTTTAATTTTAACAGCTGTAGAACCCTGAGGACTGGTTTAACAGTTTAAGTTGGTTCTGATGATAATGCACAGTTGATTCTAAATAGAGGGAATCTGCAATGGACTGATATAAGAGCTGTAAATCAGAGCAGAAATGATGCTAACCTCATTACTAGAAGACTGGTGATTCTCAGTTTCTTCAACGGTGGTGCTAAAAAATAATTCATCAGAATGACAGCCAATTTCTGTAGAAACAGAAGCTTCCTTGAAAGCTGGCACAGGCCTGTATATATCATCATCTGCTCCATCGGCAACATCAGGACTGTCACCTAGTATGCTGGGATATCCTAATGACTTCAAATATGCCAATCCCTCGTCATCCATCCAGGTCAGAGGGTCCCAATTTTGTGTGGTGCTGACATGATCAACGGACTGAGGGCATGGACTGGCGTGAAAATCCTCCTCTGTCAACATCTGCAAACAATAAAACAATGCTTCCATTAGAGTCCTAGGTGGTTTCTTAGTTTGCATAGTATATATAGTCAGAAACTGCAGCACAACAGTAGACAGATGACTCTGAGGTTGATCTGCTTCACAGCAAAAAAGGAACTGTTATATTTCTGGATTCCAAAGATTTTTGTTACTTAAAATGAACCAAAACGTCACAGCGCATCTTATACACCAGTAGGTCTAGTATGAGAATGAACAATGAAAATATATTAAAACACTAGAACCACGTTCGACATGAGAACGGTGAAATAGTGTGCCTTCTGGGCTGTAAGAAGGTGTAGTTCAAAGATAGCCTGATGTTTTGCAGATCCATATCACGTCCACCTTCAGGATCAAACAGTACGCCAAGAAACCACCAGAAAACAGGACACAAGCTGAAATGAGCTGAACTTGCCACCTTAATTTGCTGGCTTCTAGCTATGTTTACTCTTCAAACCCTGAACGTGCAAAATATATATTGCTCCAAAACACTGGGTTCTCCACAGACTGAATGGCATTACAACCCAGACCCACAGTCAACCCAATGGGACTGAGGTTTTTGGGTACAGAAAAATACATCTCAGCTGGGATTACTTTTGCAAACACCTGAGAAGAACACAATTTCACTGCCACCACGAGGCACTAAACCATTCTAGGATGCAACCAAAATTCGGTTAACGTTGCCTCCTCAAAGAAAAAGCCAAAATTACATACTGAGAATATTAAACAAACACTTGAAAATAAACGAAATATATATTTCTCAACTTTTCCATCCTAAATTACTACATATATTCTTCTTCTTCTTCTATGGCGCAACAGCCCGTTGTCTGGCCTTGGCCTCCCTTATCAAGCCCCTCCATTCCTCTCTATCCTGCGCTGCTCTCTTCCAGTTCCTTACGCCCATTAACTTCTTTGCATCTTCTTCCACTGCATCAATCCGTCTAGTTCTTGGTTTCCCCGCATGTCTCCTACCACCTATTGTACTGTACAATATTTTCTTTGGGATACGCTCCTTATCCATTCTCTGTACATGCCCAGCCCATTGCAATCTTTTAAGCTTTATCGTCACTGAGATCTCTGACTCCTTATATAATTTGTATAACTCTTTATTATATCTTATTCTCCATATCCCATTCTCTTTTATTGGTCCATAAATTCGTCTTAGGATTTTCCTCTCGAAAGAATTGATGACTGATTCCTCTTTCTTGTTTAGCGTCCAACCCTAACATCCATAATAAAGCACCGGTCTTATCATTGTTTTATATATTTTTGTTTTAATCACTCGGTGTATATCCTTTGATCTAAAAACTGATAGTAACGAGAAATATGCATTATTTGCTAGTTTTATTCTTCTTGTTATTTCATGATATTCCTCTCCATCTTTGTGGAATTTTGATCCTAAATATATGAAGTTTTCACCTATTTATATTACATACCTCAAAGAGAAACGTGAAGAAGAAATGATCTTCAGATCTCTGAGGTGTGAGGTGGCAGATCCTCAAATAGCCCAGTATGCACCATGACCAGTAAAGAGGAAAGTGCCCCAGTTCTAAAGAGATTGCTGCTTGTGCAGTCAAGAATTATGTGCACCTCACTCTTAATAGCCAATTAGAAGCTGTAAATTTGAAACCTTTCTTTTCAAAGTAACAAAGAGGGATGCTCTGACTTAATGTCTGTAACACTAGGCAGTTTTGATTTGCGCTCTGAGCAAGATTGACATATTCTGTCACATCAGTGTGCAAACCTGGTCAGTTGTAATTGTTCATTCTTTTATCTTAAAGTCATAACCTGACCTGCTAGCTACACATATATGTAGATAAATTACATATTACAGTGTTTCATTAAGAATGTTTCCCCAGATGACAACAGTGTACTTGTTTTAATATATACTGGTTTTTCTAAGTGTAAAGGGCTTTACTGCATTACACAACGAATGAAAACGAAGCTTCCTTATGTCACCTATACTACTTGAATGCACACTGTATGTCATGGAGAAGAACTCAAGCTCAAGTGTAGTGACTGGTTACACAAAATTCTTCCCACAACTTGAAACACTTATTTTCCTTCTAATGCTTCAATCTATATTGTAAGACTAACAGAGATACAAATAATGATTACACAATGTAGTGATCAATTTCCATGTGTAATTTCCAACAGCATGAGTTGGGTCAGCCACTGGCTACAGGCTGGACAGTCAAGATTCGATTCCTGGAAGGAACAACAGATTTACATGCACATCACAGCCTCCCTTTATAAAATGCAATATATTTGTTTGATGAGAGTCATGCTATACTTCGTTATTCATGTTTGCATTTTACGAATGATCAACTGGTAATATGTTTGTCAGCCTGCGATGGCAACCATAACATGTACCATGACAATATATGACATAAACTCCATCCTAAGTGCAACAATTTATTGTAGTTCTTTCATCTCGCTTTCTTCTACACTACATGTTTCGGCCGCAAACGGCCATCATCAGGTGTATACTCTCACATAGTTGCTACACTGCACATAGTTTAAAATTTAAAAAACACTAGTCTTCCAAATTGTTCATTTCGCCGTTGCTAACAGGTTTCATCAATACATCAGAATCTTGCCTGCTGATATCTGTCTGATATGTACAAAATCTTTGTTAACCTACACATGTGAATTTGATTTTCATAAACTGGCAGAGAGTATACACCTGATGATGGCCGTTTGCAGCCAAAACATGTAGTGTAGAAGAAAGCAAGACAAAAGGACTACAATAAATTGTTGCACTTAGGACGGAGTTTATGTAATATATTGTGCAGAGTGCAACAGGATGCTTAAATATAATAATGTACCATGACATTCATAAATTTTAGCGCCAAACAACGGAAGTGTATTACCGCAAAGTAGGTCGTACTGTTAATTACTACCATAGCAATTATGAAACCTGAAATTATTCGTAATTGTTATTGTAATTTATTTCGAGTCCCAGATGATCCAATAAAACTGGTTACAAACCATAGGATATAGAACATGTCAAATATTAATTAAAATATGTCAAGATAAGCAGAAGAACATAAAATTACAATAGAATCATAAGTACAGTTCAGGTATAAGTTGAGCTCAAGTAAATAACTAGAACATGTCAAAATTATAAAGCAATAAAATAAATGATATAAAAGACAATGAGTATTATCGTAAATACAATAAAACTATTATACAGATAGACTCATATAACTCAATATAGAGTAACTAACATACTATTCACATAAAACCATTAGTTTACAACATCATTCATTAACACTATAACACTTCTCCAAGTCATAAAAACAATGGGTAATCAAGTATCTTCTTAATGAAATTTTAAATTGCTTGTGTATCCCAACAATCCCCTTTTTTTTTAGGAGGCAGATTATTAAATAACTCTATACCTGTAAAGTAAACACCGTTTCGTTGTTTATCCTTGACATAATTGTCAAAACTGATATATTTAATAAATGCTTTATGGATTGACTAGACACGTGGATTGAAACAACAGAATGCAGGCACAGAATTCACATTCTAATACATCAATATAAGACAAAGCAAGTAATATATACCTTTCTTTTCTCTGAAGACATGAAAAATTCTAATATGTGGCATCTACTTCAACAGTTGACTACTGGTAACCACTTAAACAACGAAATGAAAAAGTGTTTCGTACGACCTGGAATCTCGGCGCTGCTCTACGCTGCCGCTGTGACGTCAAGAGCGTCAAGAGAGCACTACTGCGCCCTATATATTCTAATATTGTTACAAGATGGACGCCGCCAGAGCCGAGAGCACGGTCGGTAAGAAGGCATCCTATCATATTATTGTTATTGTTGTTGTTGTTGTTGTTGTCATTATTATTTCTTCCTTATTCCATTACATCTATAGTAGGCTAAAGCCTTACATACAGAAATGTGTCAATTCATCTTGCTAATACTATCAAGTAATTGTCAAATAGACTTATAATATATGACAATGTTTGTTTATATCATATAATACAATTTCTCTGAATTTGATTTGTTCCATTCTGGTCCGTCACACTATAAAGTTTACAGTTGAGTTTATTTCAGTCCAATGTGACATATAAAGCCTTCACCTCCTCAGCACTTAGTTACCTAACATGTTAATTACTTTAACCCATCGAGAGTTTACTATACTACTGTTTGTCCCATTGGAGATAGTATCGACCCTTGTGGGACACCATTAATTAATTTAACCCATCGAGAGTTTACTATACTACTGTTTGTCCCATTGGAGATAGCAGTTCTCTGTTTTCTATTGAATAGATATGACATATAGGTCATATTGTTTGTCTTTCATTCCATAATACCTCAATTTATTTAATAATATATCGTGGCTAACACAATCGAAAGCCTTTTCTAAGTCACAGAAGATCCCAGAGACTTGCGTTTTTTTATTTAAAGAGTCTAGTATTCCAGAGACAAGTCTATAAATTGCAATTTTCAGTCCCTTCCTTTTCTCTAAATTCAAATTGGTATTTATTTAATATACTATTATCATTCAAATGTTTTAACAATCTACTATGCATTACCTTCTCAAATATCTTACTACGTAGTTCGTACTGAAAGTCATGAGCAACTTTTTTTGCATGCAACCTGGGAACAGCAGACAAAAGAGAGTATGGTGGTAGGTGGAACCAGCTGTTGTGTTAAACTTGAGTGTCTTGTGACGTCAATAGTTTGCATCACGTGACCAGTATCACTCCTAATAAAATGGCCAACAACGATATGTTGTTTTGCCAGTGTGCTGTCATCGAATTTCTTGTGAAAGAGGAAATCCCTGCTGCAGAAATTCACCAGAGACTTCAGCATGCTTATGGAAGTGTGTGCATGGGTGCGAGCAGTGATCGAAGATGGGTGAAACATTTTAAAGATGGGAACACCATTGAAGATGAGCCTCGGAGCAGTCGTCCTCGAACAGCCTCAACTGAAAGCAACAAGGAAAGAGTGGATGAGATCATTGAAGATGACAGGTGTGTGACTGTGGACACAATAGCCCCAAAACTTGGAATAGAGCACAGTGCAGTACAGGAGATGATTGAAAGCTTGGGCTATAGGAAAGTTTGTGCTCGTTGGGTCCCGTGGTTATTGATCGAAGACCACAAAGGTCATCGAAAAGTCACCACCTCAGAACTGCTGCAAAGATATCGACACGAAGGTGATGATTTTCTGCTCTGTATTGTGACAGGTGACAAAAGCTGGTTTCACCATTTTGAGCCTGAAACAAAACGGCAGAGTATGGAATGGCACAATTTGCATTCTCCATAAAAAAAAAAGGCAAAGACAGTGCCATCAGCTGCGAAGGTGATGGGCACAGTCTTATGGGATGCAGAGGGGGTTTATTCTGACCGAATTCCTGGAACCTGGGCAAACCATCAATGCTGCTCGTTATGTCTAGACGCTGCAAAAGCTCCGTCATGCAATGCACGATAATCGTCCAGGATGAAACATCATCATCCTGCATGATGCCGCTCGCCTCACACTGGAAGCAATTGCAAAGGTGGGGTGTGAAGTTCTTCCACACCTCTCCCATAGCCCTGATCTGACACCCTCCAACTACCATCTTTTCGGATCTGTGAAGGATCAGCTGCTTGGACAACGTTTTGAGACAAGGGACACAATTCAGATAGCAGTGCATCAGTGTCTTCGGATGGCTGGAACAGAATTTTACAGAAGGGGAATTTTCAAACTCCCAGAACACTGGGAGAAATGTGTACAAAGAAGTGGTGATTATGTGGAAAAATAAAGAAAGGTCTGTAGATTGAGGTGGTATATTTGGTTTGTCAATAATAAAGCATGTTACTTTACAAAAAATTGTTGCTCATGACTTTCAATACGACCCCCGTAATGATGTCAATATGGATATAGGTCTGTAATTTGGTTCTAAGTTTTTATCACCTTTTTTGTACATTGGTACAATTGTAGCATGTTTTAATTTGTCTGGGAAAATACCCCCATGCATAGCTCTGTTACATAAGTAACTTATAGGTTCACTAATAAAGATTTTACAGGATTTGAGTATATTATTCGAAATTTCATCATATCCATGGGTTTGACTAGATTTTAGGGACCATATAATCCTATTTCCCTACTCGTAGTTTTTATGGTTTTTATACTAGGTAGTGGACTCTCAAATGCATCAGTCAAGTATGTCATATAATTTGTAGTTTTAGATTTATTATTTTCACCATTTCCTTTTATATATTTATGTGTATTATCCGCTATACCACTAAAATACCTATTAAATGTTTCAACAATATCGTTCAAATTAGTATTCTTTTTACCTTCAATGTCCAAGGTTTGAATATTTTCTGTATTTCTTTTCTTTAACACTTCACTATTTATTATTCTCCAGGTGGTTCTAGCTTTATTTTTTGAATATTTAAGTTGTTTATCATATGTCATCTTCTTAGCTAGATTTATCACTCTAATTAATATTTTACAATAGTTCTTATAATACGTGGCTATTATAGGGTTGTTACTTTTTTGCTTCAACATATAATATCCTTTTGTTTCTACAAGAAATTCTTATACCAGTGGTAATCCATGAGTTCTGTTTATACTTTTGTCTACTTGTTATTGGAAACGACTCATAAAAATGTCTCAAAAATATATTAAAAAATTGATTAAAACTAGTATTAATGTCATTATTGTTATAAACTAGTTCCCATTTTTCACAACTTAGTTTCGTTCTAAATTCTGCCATATTATAATCATTTATATTTCTTTTTACTCGTATTTCATTCTTTTTGATACAAGGTAATGGAAATTGTGCAATTAACAAGTCTATGCCCCCCCCCAAATCAAGATGAAAAATAATTTTTCAGATTTCATCCCTTGTCCTGCAGAGAGTTTTACTCCATTTTTAACTGAGTTTTATCTCACTTCACTCATATCCATCAAAACTGAGCAGCACTGGGTCACTCATTTTACATTTAGTGACACTGTCAAATCATTTCACCGATGAAGAGAAAATCATTGGATTTTGGTTAAATATTCAAACTAAAATTCTATTAGTCCAGTATTAATTTATTACTGCATTATCATGCATACATTTTAATTTTAAACGTTCGTTCGGAAATATATATATTTTTAGCATAATGCTTACAGAAGCAAATTTAAAGTTGGCGTTTTCCAGGAAGACAAGGCATCTCATATTGTTTTCAGAAATATTTAATCAACACTGAAAGAAGTGGCAGAAATATGTGAAGAATGTAAGTAGTAACATGTAAAACAAGATTAAACAAAAAGAAAATAATGCTGCAATATTAAGAAACTTCTGTTAACACTAAAAGTCTGTTCTTTTTTCACTTACCATTGAATGCTGAAAGCCTCATCTCTACTCTCAGCTTATACCCACACACTTTAAACTTGCATATATATGGCAAAATAAAAAGGGACTGCAACAAAAAGCTTAAAACAAATTGTATTACAGGGATAGCTGCTCAGGAAGTGGAAAAAAGATTCTTAGCTCTCAAACTGATTCCTGTTATGGAGAAATGTCAGGTGTAATGAACATGGGCAAGAACTAGAGAAAGAAGGAAAAAATCCTTGTGGCAGAAATATCTAATTGTTTACATACCCTCATTCTAATGAATCCAGTGTAAAATAAAAACATAACAGTCAAGATTACAAAGCTTCATTTATTCAGGATATATATGGATCTCTGTCAACATTACTAACATCATATGTGCAGATTTTCCGTGATCGTATGTGGCCTTGGTAACAATAAACTTAACATTTATCGCATAATATCTGATAATACAAAGAACAAAACTGTGGTGAAATATAGTACACATGATTACAAAGGTGCAAGAGTAGTTCGTATGTTGAAAAAGCTGTACACACTGAACTTGAAAATTGCCAGATACGACAAACCCCATTAAATACATGCAATATGAACCATGAAATTCAAAGCACCACTCTTTCACACATTACTCCAAAAAGATGTCTGTACTGTAGTGTAATCAACAAATGTAATCTCAATTTTTTGCAGTATTTTATGTATGTCGCTACAGGTGAACACTGAAAGGAATAACTCTGGAATCTGCATGGAGATGGCAGCTTAAATCCACATGACATGTTTTACAATCTACGGGTCTAGTTTTATTTATTTGTTTAAAATGGCAACTGCATACACATGGGTGGGCTGATACATAAGTTACCTAGTGATAAAATAAATTAAATTAAAATCATCTACCTGAATGAAACTGATTGTCATTATTTTCTAGTTTACACGTCTTAAAAACATTCACTGTCAATTCCATCAACCAATGCGCTGAAGTTTACTGTGTGTCATTGGCAATCCCTTCAAGTTTAAACAATGCTGCCACTAGTGTACATAAAAGCCACTTTCTCTTATACACATCAATCAAATGCAGAGAAATTTTCAATGTAACTTGTTGAAGCTCAAAAGAGTTAAAATATATACTCACTGACATCAGTTTGTCACTTATTCCCTTCCACTTTCATTTCAAATGCACTAAGCTAAAAATTTGGCTATTGTGGGAAATGGCTGGCCCAGTAGGTAAAATCTTATCATAGGAACACGGTAGTATATGTGTTCCAAGACCCTGGACTGTTGCTATGTAAGAATAGGAACATTCCTCTTTACATGTTGTTTTACTGGTAACATTTCTGTGAAAAGGAGTTTTGGGCTTGAGGAGAACCAAGCATAGCAAGTCCCAAGAGTGCTCTAATAATGAAAATGACAATAGAACAGTATTCTCACATAGATGAGATGAAATTACAAACAATTATTGTTTTAACAAGATTATTCAGGCAATAAGTAGCTTTGTGAGTCAAACAAATTTATAAGTTGGAGGTAATGTCAATTGTAAGTTTCAACTTATCACTAATACATCTCATGAAACACTACAGGTGGATTACAGACATACTTTATCCAACATTTAATGTGATGTACTAACTTTATATTGCAACATGTACATAAAAATGTAGTTTCACTCATTCAGTCTCATATTAAGACACTGGAATAGGCAAACCACAATAATTACTAAAGAAGTTACATGCCATGTGTGAGCTGGACAGTTTATTTGGTATAGTGGCAAAGCTACGTGCTGGACAACTGGAGAATCAAATCCAAGCGGAGATGGAGACTTCTCTCTTCTTCATTATATCAAGTCTAGCCAGACTCCTCCCTACTGTGTAGTGGAGTCTTTTTAGCCAGGAGTAAAGTGGCCAGGGCATGCAGCTAACCACCAAACTCCATCTAGTGTCAAATGTTAAGAAATACTGGAGCTACACCTACACTCTCTCGAGTCTCTATCATTCTTAGCATTGTGCTTAATTCATTTAGCACAGGGTACCTTTTACCTTTAGCCTTATTTTCGTACACCTCAGGAAAATGAAATTATTTTTGGCTATGATAAAAAGGATACTCCTTGATACAATATAATTCTAAATATGTCTACTACTGCACACATTTTCACAAGTTGGTTCATTTTCTTGAAGGCTTAGGGGAATATTTGGAAATGAAATTTCTGAAACCTTGCACAGCAATAAATGCAATTCAGATAAAACTATTTGAGGACAATGTGAGCATACACGTGGGCTTGGTGTGCTATCCACATTTTGTCAGCATGGATATGTGTACTCAGTGTTGAACAGCATATATTTCAATGCCTATTCTAGGGATTATATTGTAAGCATACACCATCTGTCATATATCCATGATGAACAAAAACACAAAAGACAATCAACAAACAGTCACTTTACTTTGACCAGGAGCAAGTTCTTCTGTCAGAGTACAACATGAAGAATTACAAGGCAGTAATGATGCTTACAGAATTCTTTAATAAAAATTCAGTTCTTATCGCAATAAATGTATTCACAGCATATATGTCTATATTACATTATTATATCCTGTAACAAACTTGCAAGTTCTGGTGTGACAGGCACATAATAAGGCTTCCATACAAAATATAATGTAAATAAAAATAAATATAAAATTGTGGATTAAGTCACAGACTCAATCACAAGGCAACTTCTCAGATGTACGTATATATCTGACTGAGATTTATGTTTTGCTGTCTGGTAATTTGTCATTTCTGTTTATATAAAATTGGACTGTGGATAAAAAGCACAACTTTCCAGGTGTGACATTTTGCACACACAAAAATACCTCCCAAAAATGTATATTGACATGGCTATTACATCTAAAGCTAAATGTTTTAAAAACATGTGAAATGGCAGTTTTAATTTTACAGTCAGCATCACTTAATATGAAGGACATGATTCCCATAGCCATGAAGTTCTACATTCCACCCATCACAGGCTAATGAGTCGATGTTTCATAAATGCATGTTGGACAGCAGACATTTAGTTGGCACTTGCCTTAGCCCACTTGCTACACATCAAGGAACATATACACTAGTATTTTGTTCCTCAGCTTTCACATTACTTTGGGGTTCTCTATAAGAACTTTATCAGGAAAATGGCAACAAGTTATATCAAATGAACTATCACAACAACATAAACTTAAGACATAAAGAGCTAGAAAATTTTCACACTCCTTACTGCATAAGAGGCTTACATATTTGCAACCATACATTTGACCATGTTATATACAGTACCTGAAATTGTAAGATCAAACATATGAAAACTTAACAAGGGAAATAGGAATGATAATAAATTAGCATGGTCTAATGACAATACTGAATACATTCCTGATATAATTACAAACGGAAAAAAAATCTTTCAATATGTAGATACTATAAAGAGGTTAAAAAATGTATATTATGAGATCACTTGAATGAATACATTTGATAAAATATTTATTGGCAGTGATGAGTAAGTTAATATACTGACCATATTTAAAAATATCACAATAAACCTCTTGTAAATATTGTACATATGATATTCTTTACTTGGGCTGCGGAGTAGTAGATCTTGCCACATCATGTGGAGAAGAAATGGAATAGCTATGATGGGGGGTTGGAAGTGGTAGAGCAACGGTTGTTGCAGGAGGAAGGCTGGATGCTGATGCAAGGGTTGTATCTAGCTTCCGGGCCTCATGCTCTAATAATAATGCATCTAGTGATGGATCCTGCGATACAGTACGCAGTGAATCCCCCAGAGCTTGCCTCAGTTGCTGCATCTCTCTCCCAGTGCGGGAACTCCTCAACACATAGAGTTGCCTGCGCTTCACCTCTTGATTCAGTTGCTCTCTCAGCAACTGTATCTATAACAAAATAATATAAATGCCTTGTTTAGAGTTTTTTTTTATTTTTACTGTTTGCATCCTGCTGTGTGAGTATAACTAATAATACAAGTTCCACCATCAACACAACTATAATTTATTAACTTATGTTTCCCTACATGTTTTAACATTTATAGTGTCATCCTCAGGTGTTGTGATTTACATATTTTCTTCATAAAATTGTAAAGCATGTATTCATATTACATACATAAGCTTAAAATGACTACTTTCTATGTATATTCTAATTGCTAGATGATTTAAATACAAGATATATAAGAAACTGGAAGGTGGGACAGCACAGTTGGTATAGCAACTGGCTACAGGCTGGATGAATGAGAGGTCGAAGTTCAAGTCCCAGTAGGGTCAAGAATTTTCACTTCTCCATGTAGTCCAGACCAGCTCTAGGGTTCACCCAACCTCCTATACAATGTGTATGGGGATGGCTCTTTCCTGGAGGTCTGACTTGGGATCAAACCAGGGTCGCCCCGGTGGGAAGAAGGTGACTAACAGCCTAAGCTACAGCACAGCCTTGTTTAGAGTTACAACATTTGATACTATATGACCCCTGCAGTTCAAACAGCATTGTTAAATACCTAACAATCAACCATCAATACCAAAATATCTGTTTACCTGACAGTAGGGGTGTGGAGGAGTGCAGATTGCACTGTGACTCCAGACAGTGTAACTGCTATGTATTTAAAATGCACACATATGGCTCTTCCTTTATTCTGAGCCTCTAATTTTTCGCATCAGTAAGAAACTAACAAAAATCTTGCTTGTGCTCCCAGCATAAAAAGATCTAAAGAAATGGCCAGAGATTGATATAATCTTACCAACTGACTTAAACATTACTACAGCCTCTTGGAGCTAAATTTTCTTACAAAACTTAGCAAAGAGAAACTCTCTCTTCCATTCTCTTCATGTGAGAAGACGACTTTTTGTACTCGTATATCCTGTCCAACAAGCGCAGAAAATTAACACATAATGGAAAGATCATGGTATGTCTATTTCACCTTCAAATCAATATATAAATCAATAAATAAAATATGACCAAATCACTGTTTACACATGATACACCCACTTTGCAATCCCTTTATGCATTTTGAAGCAAAGAAAGCAAAAAAAATTGTGACATCAGAACAACTGAAGATGTCTCAGATTGAAAAATGAGGCTCTCTTCCATGTCCAGTGAAACAACTGAGCTGGAAAGGCAGTCCCTGCTGTGTCTACCATGATCTTATCTGGTCAATGCTTAGACATCAGTCCACTAACCTGTATAATTTACATATACTCGAAAAGGTGGCACAACTGCATATTATTTTGAAACCTTCTGGTTCATATCTTAAGAGTTACTCATTTTACAAAACAATAACCTGTAGGCTTGGCATGGAGAGGGCCATTACCTGATTTTCTAATCGCAGAATTTGTTGCCGGTGGGACTGTTCTCTCGCTTCTAGGAGCCTTTCTGCCTGCAACTGGGCTGCTCTCAGCCTCTCTATCTCTGCAGTGCGGTCTGGTTTCAGATCTGATGAGAGCTGAGAGCGTAATCTGCTGATTTCTGTCTCTTTGTCCACTAATTGAGCTTCTAAACGACATACTTGCATACGAAGATTCCGGTTTTCTTGCTCTAAGCCATGGGAGCTCATCTCCTTCTCTGGCCGTTCATAGCTCTTGCTACGGCCAACTGCTGTCTTAACATAGGTTCTCTCCAGGTTGTGTTTCTCTGCTTCCAACTGGCGAATCTAAAAGCAGGAATTCATATTCTCGGTCATTAAGAAGCCACTCATGTGTACCTGAATGAAGCTCTGAGATCACAATAAAACACATTACACAGCAAAACTGTACTATCAACCTACAAGTCCAACCATTTGCATGAAGCACAAGCAGATAAGTTAACATTTAAAACTATTTGCTTGGACCTTAGAGATCATGAAGTTGGGGAATGCAGAATATCAAATAATGAGGAATTTTGCATTTTATACACCACACCTAATATTCATAGGGTGTCCAAATCCTGGGAGATATGATGAATGAACATGTAACATTGGAGGAAACAAGATGTGCATGCAGAATATCACTTGGAAAGTTGTCACCCTGAAGAGGATTTGGAATGATAATATTAAAATTGACCAGAGGGAAATTGATTCCAAAAATGTGTAATGGTTGAGGATCATGTCCAATGGCAATGTTGACTCCATGGGTATTGTTACCGTATTGGTAGTTAGTTAACATTTTGTAACTGCTTTTAAAGGTAAACAAATTATTTAAATACAGTATTAGTATGTGATACATATCGATTTTGTTACAAATATTCTCAACTGTTTTTTAAATGTTACATTTAAAAAAGTATAACAAATCATATGGACATAATGGGCAAATAAAAAAGAGAAGCATCAATGGTTACTATATTTAACATAAATTTGAAATTAAAAAAATTGTATCAACTGCATAAACCAAACATGGCTTTGGAAGAACCATTACATGTTTCATAAAAATGTGTTAATGTTTTGAGGACAGACATTATGCCCAAGACAACTAGCAGACAGGGTTTACTTAACGCTGATGGGTCAGTTGCTCAGACCATATTGTGCTGAAACCATGATAAATACCAAATACACATAAAACCTGTTCAACCATTCAGGTACAAGAAAGGTGGGAAGTACACACAGACAGAGAGATTGGATTCCAAAAACAACTTTTTCATAGCCATGGAGGCTTAAAATTTGCAAAGCCATTAAAATCATGTGATCAACTATTTTCACGATCACAACACTTTCTCATACCATGTATATGAGAAATTAAGGAAGAAATTGTATAAACAGCCATTGGGAAGAATAAGATAGGGGCAGTAGGTAAAGAGAACAGGGAAAGGATGAAGGCAGATGCAAGAGAATCACTTGTGGGAGGTCAGAGAAGAATGGAGAAGGCTTTGGTACAAGAAGATCCACCTTTGTGATAATGTTAATTATCTGCCAGTTTGGACTGCTGGTGATTTAGCTGATCATCGGCTCAATCTATTAACATGGAAAGACTCAAGATGTAAAGACCAAAAGAAACTATATAAAAAGAATTTCCAGAGCATGGCAGGCCTTTGCTGTAAGCGCTACTAAAGGGCAAAGTGTGACGGAAGAATATCTGGTCAAATCTGGACCTGGCCTGATACAAACATGGAATTCAACTTGCCAAATAAGGAAACATTAGAATACATTCACTTCAAATACAGGACAGAATCGCCTAAAAATACTGACAGATTCTAACCTCAAGCATTCTAGACTAAAATAAACTCTGATAAATGAACAGATTTATTGGAAGCCCTGTGCTATTGGTACAAATGCAGGATATACATAGGAAGGAAGAAAATGCAAGGGTTTCCATTTCAAGTATAATGAACAAGCTCTCATTATAGAGACATAACTTATACACAAACTATTATATTTACCTTGTCTGACAGAGATTCCACTTTTCCTCGGAGCTCCATGCGTTCACGCTGTGATGTCCGTAATTGTTGCATCAATTCCTCATCCTTGCTGCTTGGTCCTGCACCCTCTGGTGGCCAGCTAGCCAGTCTCAGTTGAGCTTCAAGACCAGAGCGTTGAACCTCATTGTTTGCCAACTCAGTCTGTAACCGCTGGTTCTGATCAGTGAGGTGCTGGTTCATACGTCGCAACTCTACCAGCGTTTGTTGTGATGCTTCCAGACGTTCTGTGACAACCCTGCGCTCATTCTCACTGTTGGTCAGTGATTTCTGAAGCTGCATATGAAAAATAAAGTGAAAAGTATGAACCATAGGATATGAGATTCTATTAAACTGAAGAAATGTGTGCTAGCTTAGTGGCTATTCACAGTGTTGTATCAACTACTAGGATATTGCAAATGATGAACTGGTTTCTTCATAGGTTATTTAAGATTGTTTAATGAGCTACAGAAGTTATGTGGTGTTGAAGAATGCCATCTTCTGGGATATACTGCCGTGTAGATCTTGTATGAACCGACGTTTCAGAGAAACATTGGTTCACACAAGATCGACACGATGCCACATCCCAGAAGATGGCATTCTTCATAGTCACCACCGTGAGAACCTAAAATCTTACTCATGTGGTGTTGACTGAGGTGAGGAAGTGGTCATGATCTGTTTCAAAGTACCAATCTCATATCTGGGTGGAGAGACTGAGAATAAGCCAGTCCAAACAACTGATCCTTGGCCAGGATTTGAAGCAGATACCTTCTGAACACATGTGCAGTATGTTACGGTATGTGAAATATCATGTAAAGATAATTTACAGAGAAAATAAAAAAACACACAAGCAAGAGAATAAAGATGAACGTGAGGAGATAAGAAAGGTAAGGTGTGAAAAACATTCTGAATTAAGCAGCAGTTGTGTTCCTGGAAAACAACAATACAAAAACATGCACATCAAACAGGATTTTCAAAGTATGGATGGGAAATACTTTACAGAAGTGACTGATTATTGAAAAAAGAAAAAAAAAAAATCAAAGGCATTTAAACATATAATTCAGCAATGACTTTAATTTATTTTGTCATTTATTTATGCTAATATAAGTTCTGCTACTGATGTGAGCATGTGCGCAAAAATACACATGCGGGAAACAAACTGTCACAATGTCAAAAAATTCAAGATGAGCCAGCATGATGTGTAGGACACATAATTATATGGTGGCACAATATATAAACAGGGGCTTTCAATAACATTTACTATTGGGGGTCAACATTAGAAGTTGCCAGGCATCTTTGCTACAATCTTAATATCACAGTCAAATGGTTAGTACTTCTGTTTTGTATTTTGAAGGTCCTGGGTTTGATTCTGTGCCCAAAGACTAACTTTCCTGCCTCAGGTTCTTCATTGCATTCTTCAGTCTCTCCAAGAAAATGCTTGGGTAGTAGCTTAATACAGGGAACAACATTTCCATCCTTTCCAAATAAATAAATAAACAATTAAGCAACAGGTCTGTCTCTGTAATAAATTAACATCAGGACTAATGGGGTATACAAATGTAAACCATAAAGTTGTCCCTGTGCTTAAATAATTAAGTAAGATATAGAAGGTATAGAATGTACCATCTACACAACAACAATCAGTATTACAAGATACTACTGAATCAACATTTTCTTTTATTAAGTTTATTAAAGACGGTACATTCTATACCTTATATATCTCATTTACAACACACAACAGGAATGCACAATATTAAAATTAACTAATTAAGCACTATGCCGGTCACAGTAGCCAAGCTGTCTAAGGCATGCACTGTCTTCACTCGCTCGGAAGCCGGGATCATGGGTTCAAATCCCACTCGGGGCATGGATGTTTGTGTACGTTTTTCTGTTTGTTTACAGGTAGAGGACTCACGACGAGCTGATCACTCACCCAAGGAGTCCTACCGTATGTGTAAGATCTAGTAAACCGAAGTGAAACAGAGAGTTTCATGGAGGTAGGCCTAGGCCCAAATTGGGGCTGTAGTGCCATAGGAAAAAAAAATTAAGCACTATGCCATGAAGGTGTATGGGGAGTGGATGTATAGATCCACATTTTCTTGACCTTGGCACTAGTTGGAGGTGAGTGGAGGTATACAAAACCACAAAGAATGAATTTGGAAAATATGTGTACAACATCAGAATATGCCCTTCCACTCAAGTTCACCTAAATCAACTGTCTGGTCTTCAAGCCATTTCCATGGAGAATAAAAACCTTGTATTTGGGACCAACACTGAATACCATATTACATTAAACAAGAATGTCAAACACAAACATAAACTTTTCATGACATACATTTACATCCTGTAATCAAAAACCTCAACACTGCCAATGATCGGGGGCAAGCGGTAGCACAGCTGGTTGAGGTACTATGTTACAAGCTGGAAGGTCACAGGTTCGAGTCCTGATGAGCCAGATTTTTTCAATTTACCTAATCCTCCCAGCTGCACTATGGCCCTGGAGTCAACTAAGCCTCTTAACAGAAATCAGTACCAGGAAACTTCCTGGGGGTAAAGCGCACCCAGCGTATATGGCTGACAACCTTACCGCCATCTGTGAGCAGACTCTCTAGACAAAATGTGGGAGCCTGGACGTCTCACAACCCTATGGGTCTTCACAGCCTATTACAGGGATAGCTTTACTTTTTTTACCTTTTACCTTTCAATTATCATGTAAATGACAGCTCAAACATGAGCTCACTTCTGGGGTCTTCAATATCTTCGCTCAATCACGAAAATAATCATCTCACCAACATTGTCCAAATGCCACAGAACCTTTCAGATTATAGTACAAGCTTCAAGCCTTCAACTGCAGGGCCAGCCATACACTACCTATTACAAAATGCTCGGTAGTAAATGCTGCTGCACAAAATAACTCACACTTCTGCAGATTACCTTCAAGAGAACAGATTTATACAGCTTGAAAGCCAGATCCTTCTCCAAACAACAGCACGATTCTTGATGCCCTCTATTAGTAGAAATGCTCAACAGAATGATTAACATTCAGTTAACACAATCAGCTCATAGCACAGGAAGGATCAAGGAACTGAAATATATTTCAGTCCTTGATACAAATTTAACAGGATAATTTGTTTTCTTATAGGAAATGCCTGTGTTACTCTACCAGACATAATTACATTGGTGAAATTTAAGTACCCAGCAATGAAATCTTAAGATCCTTCAAGTGAATCACAGATGCTGTAGCTAACCTGTTTTAGCTTCTCAGTACTTGATTGTGAGGTTGAACTTGTGTCCAGCAAAGTTCGCTGCAGACTCTGAATCTCAGCCCTCATTTCTGCTTCCCCAGTGTTCGCTCGTTCCAGTGTTAAGTTCAGTTGGTCGACAGTTGACTTTAATGAAGAACAACGCTCTTCAAGACTTGCAAGATTCCGCCCTTGCATTTCACACTTGTCCTGCAACTTCTGTGTAGCAAGAATTCTTAGGTTGGTATTAACTAAATCCATAGTGCACAATATTCCTTAAATTGTTATTAGTGATTCAGGCATTCAACAAATTTTTGTGCATTTGCAAAATAAAGTTTATTCCACGTGTTCATAAAAGCCCATCAATAGACCCTACCTTAAATCAGCTGAATACAGTCCACACCCTCACCCTTAAAAATTCACTGTAATATAATTCACCATCTACAATTAGGTTCCTCAAAAGGTGACTTCTCTTGAGGTTTCTCAACTGAAATTTTTATGTATTTCTCATCTCCCCCATACATACTGTAACGTGTTTGGAGTAGATACTCCCATAGTAACGCAATAACAGGGAGCCATTGCATAGACAATGTTAAAACAATGAATGCATTTACCCCAAAGATGAACAACAGAGTTTGTTGTGCTTGTTGCATAACAACAGACTGTCACAACAGCGGGAATGGAACCGTGAGGAATGGTGTCTGGAATCCAGTCCGCATAACGCCTATATAAGCAGAGCCAGATACCACACGTACAAATGAGACAGTTGAGATCACTAATTGTACTTGAGTGTGTAAGAATAAATGTGTGTGAAGTTATTTGTCACATGATATACCCAACACATGACAATACTATATTCCCACCCAACCAATCACTCCATATTTAATTATACTGACAATATTAGGTGAATTCTCTATAGTTCACTTTAATAATATCGCCACGCAGTGTCTGTAAGGTAACCAAAACTGTGTATAATTTGTTTTTTCCGACTCCTCCTACATTTATCATCTATCCCCATTCCTCTGTTCTTTCCTTTTAAAAACACTAATAACATCAAGCAAATGATGCAAATTTATCATTATGTTCTTTTCCCCCCATTCCTTCTGAGAGACCATGTTTCATTCCCATATAAAACATAATTAATAACATTATAATATTGTGTTTTAAATTTCTGGCTTTCAGAAAGGAGACACGGAGCATACAGTTCTTCATTTTACATGCTGTTGGTTTCATCACATATACCATTTCAGTTTCTTAATGTAGTTCCCGAGCACTTTGACTTATTAGCACTTGTTATCTCTGAAGCTGACAGGACAAGTCTGAAGGATCACATACCTGCACATGGGAGTCCTTCTCCTGCAGAATCATCTGCAGACGCTGCAGGTCTCCTTCTAAGGATAACCTTTGCAGTTCTAATTTTGTGGCCCGTGACTCATTACGGCTCAGTTCATCTTGCAGACTACGTTTCTCGCTCTCCAGTCTGGACATGGCTTGCCTCATTTTATCAAGTTTATCCTAGAGAGAGTACACATGTTTAGTAAATTTACTTTCCCAGTATCTGATCTAGGATTCTTTGCTTTCAATTCTTATGATTCCCTTAAAAGAATTCTACTAGGGCTATTAATTTTGTTATGATACAGTGAATTACTGATAGTTAGGGCAAGGTCACTATCATAATTTTCATATTTCTGTTTTCAATGAAAAGCATTTTAGCTGGTATTAATCTTATAAACCATAAGCATGACATGAGAAATTATTAATATCAGTTCAAACGTGATTCATGAGAGAAACACATCATTTAAACATAAAAAGATGAAGGAGTGATAGAATTACAGATTTCACCAATAACAGAATTTATTAAGGTAAGGCAAAGTTGTCTCTGTGCTTAACTAATTAAGCACCATGCCATGAAGATACATGGGGGAATGGATGTATAGATCCATGTTTTCTTGACCTTGGAACTAGCTGGAGGTGAGTGGTCAGTGTCATGCCCCAGCCACTTTAGTCCTGGGAAAAAGAGACCCCAGTACCACTTCGACAGGAAGTTGGGTGGATCCCAGAGACAGTCTGGAGCATGTAGAGAAGAGAAAATTCTTGACCCTACCATGACTGGAACTCCAATCCTTTGGTCATCTAGCCCAGGCATGTCCAACTTCAAACAGGTTGTCATCAACTTTTTAGTGTCAAAACTGCCAGTGATATACAACCCCCTACTATCGTCGTACCTCGCTCTAAGCAAAGCTATTGGTAAAAATAACACAAAACATGATGCTTGTTGTAAAAGCAACATACATTGAAAGTACAGAAAAATGGGAATGACTAATACATATTTTCCCTACAAAATCTGAATATAATCATATTATATTACAAGTGAATTTACATGCTTTCCACGTATAATTTCCTTATAGGCCTACGAAATCAACCAAAAATCATTCTGCGATCGACACATTGGACATGCCTGGTCTAGCCCATAGCCAGTCACTATACCAACTACACTATCCGCAGAATTTATTAAACACAACAGAAAAGACTGCAATGAACATGTGACGTCTGAACTTCTCATACTGATAACCGTGAAGAGTACTGTTTTTCTGGGAAGTCACTAGGTGGTTCAAATGTGACTGGGATCGATTGTTTTGTAAACAAGCCGCACTGCGCAGCAGCTGTGCGACCTTGAGAGAGTGAAGCCACAACCTCCACCCTCCCTCCTGTTAGGGTTAGAACCTATTCAGTCCTGTCTGGAAGTTGCTGGAGTGATGAGGGAACAGAAGGTACCGCGGAGTGTTGAACAACGCATTGTGATCAAATTACTCATTGGAGAAAAGTCCCGTCCGCTGAAATTCACCACAAACTCCAACAACAGTATGGGGAAGAACATCTCTCACGGACCCGTGTGTTTGAGTGGTGTAAATGCTTCAGAGAGGGCAGAGAGCGCATGGAGAATGAACCGCATGATCGTCGGCCGCCAACATCTGTCACAAAGCGAAACATTGATCGTGCAGACGCACTTATTCGTGAGAATAGGCGCATCACTATCAAGGAACTTGGAGCAATGCTGTCCATCAGTGTTGGTAGTGTAGAAGACATCATGAAATACCACCTGCACTATTGCAAGGTGAATGCATGGTGGGTACCATGCACTTTGACAGACATGAACAAAATGGTGTGCATGCAAGTTGCCAGTCGTCTCCTACAGCAGTTTGAAGACGAAGGTGATGCATTTTTGAAGTCTATAGTGACCATCGATGAAACGTGGGTGCACTACTTCATTCCCAAGTCCCAGCAATCATCATGCGAGTGGCGGCATACCAGTTCTCCCAAATACAAGTGAGCGCGGAGGAGCCATTCAGCAGGAAAAGTGATGGCAACGTTCTTCTGGGACTGGCAGGGGGTTATCCATGTAGACTTTCTGATAGATGCCAGAACAGTCAATGCAGCTTATTACTCAGACCTTCTGGCAACAGACGTGAAGGAAAAGATCCGATCCAAGCGGAAGAGAGGTGGAAAGCGGGTAGCCTTCCTTCAAGACAATGCACGCCCCCATATGGCCAAAACAACAATGGAAACCCTCTGGAAATTGAAATGGAACCTTCTGACACATCCGCCGTACAGTCCCAATTTGGCACCAAGTGATTTCTACCTGTTCAGAAGGCTCAAATCAGACTTGCAAGGCATGCAGTTTGTGGACGACGCCGTCATCCAGAATGTTTGGGAGTGGACATGCCGCCAACCACAACACTTTTTTGAAAAGGGCAACAGGATGCTTCCAGTACATTGGAAAATATGTGCTGACTCCGGAGGGGAGTACGTTGAAGACTGACATGTGCAAGTAAGTGTTTGGCAATTTTGGTTTAAAAAAAAAATCAGTCCCGGTCATATCTGAACCACCTTGTACTTATATACTCTGGTAGATGTTTACGGATGTTTCAGAGGAATGTACTACCTCCATCTTCAGGGTCGAAGAGTAAGCTAAGCAAGCAGAACAGTCCTGTTATCCTTTGAGCTTACCTTTACCACCTCCCACTGGTCAATACTGCCACAACCTATCTACAGAGCATCACATCCTAGAAGATAGTACTCCTCATAGTGTCATGAGAACCTAAAATTTTATACTGATAACTTTCAAGCTGAATTTAATGTACACTAGAGGTACAGCAGACTGATATAATCCAGAATAAAATATGTATGACAACATTTAATATAAACAGGAATATCAGATTTCACCAAAACCTGCTCAGTGCTTCAAAAGACAGAGAGATAGATATAACCCCCTTTTAAGTACAGCTACTCAAATTTGAACATGATGAGAATCACCAGTACCTCATACTGTCCCTTTTCTTCAGCCCCACTGCTAATGGTGAGCTCCAGAGCCATTACTTTCTCTCTCATCTGCTGCGCCTCTTCAGTTTTCTGCTGAAGAGCTTCTGTCTGTAATATGAAATATGGAACAGACTTAAATACACATTTTTACTGTCACTATGACAATCTAAACTGATTATGTAACTATAGCACCTCTTAAACAAATTGCTTATTATGGAACCCACGAGTGTAACATTGACCATAGAAGTAAGCTAACCTCAGTCATTTCAATCATTTCACAAATACACAACCTGTTTCTCTAGGATACATTATAATGATTTCTTCTGAAGATGTGCCTTCTCATGAGATTATATGTCAAAACGTTCTTGGGCATTATATCGCTTCTCTGTACTTGACTCAGGAGTTCCGAAAACAGACAAATGAAACAAGCTTTCAGTTTTAACAGTAAAAAAAAAAGGTAAAGTTGTCCCTGCACTTAACTAATTAAGTACTATGCCATGAAGACATATGGGCTAGTTGATGTACAGATCCACATTTTCTTGACCTTGGCACTAGCTGGAGGTGAGTGGTCAGCTTCACAGCCTGGCTGCTTTACTCCTAATACCCACTGAATATGAAGTTGGGTGGGCGCCAGAATCGGTCTGGAAGATATGCAGAAGAGAAAATTTTTGCCCCTAACAGGACTTGAACTCCAACCCCTGGTCATCCAGCCCATAACCAGCTGCTATACTGACTGAGCTAGCGCAGCTCCCCTTAGGTTTAACAGTGGTAAATAGTATTGAACTCTGGTGTTTTGATGCCATGTAGTTTGGTGGACTGCTAGTGATGTTTTTGGGCAATGTACTGCCCCCATCTTCAGCATATGCAGTAACACCTTGACAACAAATTTACACATTCCTCCAAAATGTCAGTAACAAGCTACTGGACTACATAGGTAACATCTCAGAAGACGCTACTCTTCAGAGCAGAACAAATCTTATAGTTTATGATACCTTTATTAATGTCTCATGAACTCTGAAAAAGAATGAGAATTCTGTGATGCACTTACAATAATTTGCATCCTGTTCAACCATTAACAACATCAGTGTCCAATATTTGCTATAAGCCACAATCTTATCTGAATACAGTATTGTATGACACGGAGTCAAATGAAAACAGGTCAGAAGCCAAAACATATTAAGGGATATTTCTGACCTCAAACGTAATCTTGAAAACTGTTAATACATTTATCCCACTGGGAGATAGATGGTCAGTCCCATCCTTGAAGAAGCTTGTGGGCTGTCTATGGAACCACATCTTTACCCAGCCACGCACATCTTCGTCTGATGCAAACCGATGTCCACGAATGTCTCTCTTCAGGTCTCCAAAAATGTGAAAATCACATGGGGAGAGATCTGGGCTGTAGGGAGGATGTTGAAGCACTTCCCAACCAAATCTTTGTAACATATTCCTCACAGAGTTGGCAGTGTGAGGGCGCGCATTATCTTGAAGGATAATGCTGTTCGATAGCATTCCAGGGCGTTTTGACTCTATGGCATGTCTCAGTTTCTACAAAGTGTCTTCATAGTGCTGTGCACTGATTGTGGCCCCATGCTCGAGAAATTCGACAAGCAGAGCGCCCTTGCAGGCGAATAAAAACGTCATCATCACTTTACTGGAACTTGTGTGTATGGCTTTGGATTTCTTCGGTGGGGGAGAATTCATGTCTTTCCACTGCTGGCTCTGCCATTTACTCTTGGTTTCAAAATGGTGGCACAAAGTTTTGTCCCCAGTAGCAATATGGGACAGAAAAGCATACACTTCCTAATGGTATCGTTGCAAGTGACCCAGTGATGCAGCCATTCTCTGAGTCTTTTGTTCTTCCGTGAGTTGAGGTGGAACCCACTGTGTGCAGATTTTGCGGTACAGCAGGTGTCTTGTCACAATGGCATGTACGGAACCGTGACTTATTCCCATCAAAAGACTAATTTCTTCCACAATGATCCGTTGGTTTGCCCAGATATGACCATCCAACGCAGCAACACCAGGAGTGATGACATGATGAGCCTGACCTGGGCGAGCATCATCTTGCAGTGACACACGTCCCTCTCGGAATCTCTTATGCCATGGCAGCACATGTGAACGTGACATGCTGTGTTTGTCGTAAACAGCAGACATGCGACGATTAATTTCTCATCCTTCTACTCCTTCAGCAGTCAAAAAGCGCACTACACTTCTTTGTTCTTCTTTACCCACCTCCATTACTGATGCTGGACAACCACACGTAGTGCTAACCTTTCTTCCAGCACATTAAACAAACAACTAGTGCGCAAGGGCACACTGTCACTGTACTTTCCTGAATCTCCACCAGATGTTGGTACCGTAAGCAAATTCCAGTGTTACCAACTTGTGCGCTGTGTGAGTTTTGTGTGGTGACCTGTTTTCATTTGACTGCCCCTTATATCTATTGAAACACTAATAGATAATAAGAGCTAACCAATTATTTCCAGAAGATTATAACCAAAAGCATAATAAAAGCCAGAAATAAAGTTTTTCATTTAAAATTTGAAGCCTTCATGGCAAATAAATGAGCTAAAATCTCAGTGATCAGCCATATCAATGTTGAACTAAAAGCCAAGGTTTCAGAGGCCTCCTCTGTCATCATAATCATCAAGCAATGTTTTCCTTTCTTAACAGATTTCAGATACAATCTGCTTCAAATATAATGCAGCAAAAACAGAAAGGAATTTGCCCTATCACAGACCTACTACTTAAGCCTTGCTGTATAGAGAATTTTAACCACATAAAAAGTTAACATGATAATTTTTATTTGGCTCCACTGATCATAAATATCGGAAAAGAGAATTCAGTTTATGTTTGTGCAACTTAATTATATATAAAAATAATATTCAGAATTAATTACAGTGTGTATAACATAACCCTTGCTTTGCAACCTGCGTCAGAGTGTAAAGGTAAAGTTTCCCTGTGCTTAACTAATTAAGCACTACACCATGAAGGCATATGGGGGAGTGGATGTATAGATCCACATTTTCTTGACCTTGGCACTAGCTGGAGGTGAGTGATCTGCTTTACCCCTAGGGAAAGAGGCCCTGGTACCCATTTTATAGGAGGTTGGGTGGACCCCAGAGCCAGTTTGGACGCTGTGGAGAAGAGAAAATTCTTGACCCTACTGGGACTCGAACCACGACCCCTCGGTCATCCAGCCCGCAGCCAGTCACTATACTGACTACGCTATCCTGGCTCATTGCTTCAGAGTGTTCCAATCAATTTTAATCCCTGCTGATTTTCTTTGGTCTCTTTCTAATAGTATATTCTACCATTAAGTCCATGCTGATGATGTTAATTTCTTGGATAAGAACATATATACCATAAACACAAATATAATAACTATTTGATATACATAAACAAACTGGACTACAAATAAAAACAAAAAAAAAAAACTAAGTACACAGAAATTCTTACTTTGTATTCTTGGAATTTACATTTTTCCCAGTTAGAGACACTTTTCATTTTTCCCAGCCAAAGACCCATAAGAACAACGTTAAAAGTTAACCAATTTCATGTTTACTCAAACTTACATTTTGCCTGAATTTGCTCTTCCAAGTCAACGACAACAGAAAAATACCTGATTGTGCATTTCTGATGTTCTATGTTTCTAAAGTCAAAGAAACACTGGTGCCATTGTACTCATGTTCAAGGTCCATCCTAGTCAGTTAGGCATACTGTTGAATACCAAACTTTCAGAACCTCATGTGAAAGAGCTATACAGATTTTGACAGGAGACAAATGACTGATTGAATGGTTCAAGAAATAACACAGTATGTAGATTAATGCATGCATTTACATTGTTAATATGTCCAAACATGTATGTTTCAGAAGGCTTGCCAAGGTTACTATATAAGAAAATGCACATATTTCTTTATGTTGCATAATTATTATTTCCTTTACCTTCACTTAAGTTGGCCCCTTCAAAAATGTAAAATCGAAATTCTATTGAATCTGTTCACGCTTCACAGTGAAACTGCAGGGAAATGTAATATATAATTATACTACTGTAGTGTTTAGACTCTTTACCGCGTAATGACCTCAAAAACAAATAATAAATCATTTGTTACGAACTGATTCTTAATAAGTAAGTATATGCAGCTGTCACTGGGTAACACCTTCACAAACAAACATCTTCCCATGGAAACGATTGGAGTACAACAATGAATGGTAGTTTCTACCCAGTCTGAGCCGGGATATTATAACTGAGACAAGTTTAGAAGTTAGTCAGTTGTTAGAGAGAGTTGTAAGGGAGTCTGTGAAAAGAAGACTTGGTGCAGTTGAAGAATCCCCATTGTTAGAAGGTGTTACCAGGGAAAAATTGGTGAAGGTACAGCAGATTGAAAAGACTAAGTGTGTGCTGTAGTGATTCGTAAAGTGTGGAGATCAGCATTGGCAATGTAATTAAGTGCAGCCATGAGTTGTGTGTTAAATTGGTCAATAAATCCAATTTTTGATCCAAAACCCCATCGACTGTCATTCCCCATCATGATAATATAAAATAATAAAACATAAAAAATAATTTAATATAAACACAAATAACAAATCCATCCACAAGGAGGCGATATGAGTAAGTAAAAAAAGTAAAAAGTAAAACTATCCCTGTAACAGGCCGTTAAGGCCCATATGGTTGTGAGATGCTGAGGGTCCCACATTATCTAGACAATTGGCTCAAAGATGGTGGTAAGGTTGTCAGCCTTATGCGCCGGCCGCACTTCACTCCCCAGGAAAATTATTTAATTAATTCCTGGTACTCATTTCTGTTAGAGGCTGATTCGACCCCAGGGCCACAGTGCAGCTGGAAGGATTAGGTCAACTGAAAAAAGTTCAATGACCTCACCAGGACTTGAGCCCATGACCTTCCAGCTTGTAGCATAGTGTCTCAACCAACTACGCTACCGCGTGCCCCTGGCAATATGAGTAACAAATGAAAATTACATTTATGACAAAGCTAGGAGCAGATAAATTTGAGGAATGTTTACTACTATTCATTTTCAATTATTTTATTTCCTGTCTTCTATCTGAAGACTAAAGTGCATACAAGTACAATGTTACATGTTGTATATGGGTGTGATACTTGATCTCTCATGCTAAGGGAAGAAAAAAAGATTGAAGGTGCTGTGGGGAATATTTGGGGCAAGAGAGGAAAAAACGGGAAGATGGAGAAAACTGCATAATAAGGAGTTTCATAATTTGTTCCACTTTACCAAATACAGGGTGATCAAATAAATACAAATAAGATGACCAGAGCAAGTAGTATAAAAGGAAGAAATGAAAAATGTATAAAAGATTTTTGTTGGAAAACCTGAAGGAAAGAGGCTTCTTGATACAAAATGCCAGTACTCAGTACTCCTTACCTGAGCCTGTAACATAGCCTGCTTCTGGCCCAATTTAGCTTCCAAAGTGCCTTTCTCCTCCTGAACAGCTCTCACATTGTGCAAGGCTGTATTCAGTTTTGCATCCACTTTGTTGTGTAGTTCCTGTGCCTCTTGCAGTTGTTTCTTTGCACTCAGAACTTGGGTTTTGAAGTCATCCTCAAAACAGAAGAACTTAATTATCATACTTATATACAACTTTTCCATTTTTTTCTACTTTATTTGTCAATCCTCTGCTACTTCCTGACATATTGATTGGTTCTGAACTTAATACCACACACTTCAAGTGCAGAGGTTAAATAATAAAGAAGGAAATGGAAGTTACAACCTCTTTATTATGGCCGTCACAACACAACAAATATCAAGATCAGTGCCTAGTTTCGGCTCTGCTACAGGTTTCGGCTATTAATAGCCATCATCAGGCAAATACACAGTTAACATATATACACCACTGAACTGCATTACTACTAAAATTGTATACAATACTATTAATTATATAAAACACTTAACATAAAATACAATAAATCAGATTATATAAAACAGAAGTTATAGTATAAAACCAAGAATAAAATTCTTAGATTGATGTTTTATATCATCGAATCAGTCGTTGGTTTTGTAATTTCATTGCATTCCCACGGACAAATTGGAATATTCTACATTCTGTGCATATAAAATTGTATAGGAGGCTCGTGATATAGATGTAGTAAATTAATGTTAATTTGAAAATGATATGAAAGTAATAGTATTAAATTTTGTGATAATCAATAACTGATTTTCCTATTGAAGATATAGTGTATATTACTTACTGTTTAGTCTGTGCCTCATCTTACAAAGTATTGTCCATTCTGTAGGGAATGTAAACAACGACTGATTTGGTGATGTAAGATTAGAGTCAATGCAAGGGAGGGAGGGGGGAGGAAGAGATAAGGTGTATGCGGAAGTGGTGGTAGGGGGGAAGGGGGTATAACTGTGTATTATGTTTTGTATGTATCAACTATTACATCATACATAGGATTAAACAATTTGGTAAAATTATCATTCAGTTGCAAATTTAGTTTGCTGATTTCGTAAATGTGAAATCTTTCATATGTTTCCAAGGTTCGGCCTTTCTTGCCGATATATAGAACTTCTAATGTTTTGTCTATCGTACTATATTCATGTGTGGTGTCTAATATATGTTGAGCAAATTTTGAGCTTTGTCCGTTATTTTTTCTGCCTTGTATATGTTCTTTGAATCTGACCATAAAGGTACGTCCGATCTGTCCTATATATTTTAATGGACAGTCAGAACATTGTAGTTGGTAAAGCCCACTAAGATTATACATATCATTTTTGTCATCATTTACTTTCAAGAGATGTTTTATATTGTTTTTTGTCTTATATGAGATACCAACTTCACTATTCTTGAAAAGTTTAGTAATAGATCTGATTTCATGGCCGAAATAGGTAGAAATGGTACATTTATTTTTCAGCGTAGTATTTTTTGTGACTGTGGTTCTGTATGGGTGTGAAACTTGGTCTCTGACATTAAGGGAGGAACACAGACTGAGAGTGTTTGAAAACAGGGTGTTGAGGAGAATATTTGGACCAAAGAGAGATGAAGTGACAGGAGGTTGGAGAAAACTGCATAATGAGGAACTTCATAACTTGTACTCTTCTCCAAGTATAATAAGAATGATCAAGTCAAGGAGCATGAGGTGGGGAGGCCATGTAGCACAAATGGGGGCGACGAGGAAAGCGTACAGGATATTGGTGGGAAAGCCAGAAGGAAAGAGACAACTGGGAAGACCAAGGCGTAGGTGGGTGGACAATATTAAAATGGATCTTAGAGACACAGGACAGGGTGGTATGGATTGGATAGATCTGGCTCAGGATAGGGACCAGTGGAGGGCTCTTGTGAACACGGTAATGAAGCTTCGGGTTCCATAAAATGCTGGGAAATTCTTGAGTAGCTGCAGAATTGGTGGCTCCTCCAGAAGGGCTCAGTTCCATGAGTAAGTAAGTATTTTTTGTGGAGGGTTTTTGTGTTAGTTGTATGGTATTTAGTGGGTAGTTATTATTATTTAGAATAGTTCTAACCATGTTTTCTCCTATGTTTTTATTGTTATGCGAAAGGGGATATTGATTCAATCGATTAATGAAAAAGTTTATAGCAGCTTTTCTGTGTTCAAATGGGTGACATGAATCATTGTGGATGATTAGATCAGTAGCTGTAGTTACTTTCATCATTTTCAGATTAACATTAATTTACTACATCTACATCACAAGCCTCCTATACAATTTTATATATACAAAATATAGAATATTCCAATTTGTCCGTGGGAACGCAACGAAATTACAAAACCAACGACTAATTCGATGAAATAAAACATCAATCTAAGAATTTTATTCTTGGTTTTATACTATAACTTCTGTTTTATATAATCTGATTTATTGTATTTTATGTCAAGTGTTTTATATAATTAACAGTACTGTAGCCAATGTTACTAGTACTGCAGTTCAGTGGTGTATATATTGTAACGTGTTTCGTTACTGAAGACACCATTCAGATTGTTAATTGGTTTATTTAACAACTTACAAGTCTCGGCTACAATTGATTATAACACTGTTGCGGGGTTTCACACTTTATAACCCTATTCGCAATAATCTCTTCACTCTGCGGGGTTTCACACTTTATAACCCTATTCGCAATAATCTCTTCACTCTGCGGGGTTTCACACTTTATAACCCTATTCGCAATAATCTGTTCCCTGTATCACACACTCCCAGTTACACAATTACACACACGTCCGGTTCTTCTTTCCGTGACTGCTATACTCGAACTGTGTCACTCCTGATCACACACTAACTCTCGCTTGCTGCTCAGCCAGCTTTTATTCCGTTCGCTGTTGCCTGTTGCCCGTGTCAACAGCGGTGTTGCGTGCCACAACACAGCAGGAAGCTGTGCTACGTCATAGTGCGGGGGGGGGGGCAGAGTGCTGACTCACCTGCTATGTCAACACTGGGGAGGGAGGGGGTGTCCTCCATTGCGCAACACGTCACAATATGTTAACTGTGTATTTGCCTGATGATGGCTACTGATAGCCGAAACATGTAGCAGAGCCGAAACTAGGCACTGATCTTGATATTTGTTGTGTTGTGACAGTTGTAACAAAGAGGTTGTATATTGTAACACAACAGGATGCATGAAATGAAAATTAGAAGTGGAAGATACAATGAGAATGGTAACCTGCTTGCTCAATCTCACACTATTTGAAATTAGTGGAAACATTATTTTTAAGCAGCTACGAAATGGTTATGAAGTAATTTTGTTAGGCCAAAATCACAACTGAAAAGTTGAAAAGATTCAAGTGCTATATACTGACCAAATTCTGGTAGAATTAATGCAAGCAGGCAGTAAAACATTATGTTCTGAGATCCATAACATTCTCTTGTGAATGAGGAAGAACTGCTATAGTGGCAGAAGGAATCTTAATTTTACCTGTTCATAAAAATGGCGGTATAAGACTGACTCTAGTAACAATCAAGAGATTTCACTTGACATTATACAAAATTTTATTCAAAACTAATTTTGAAACTTCATTTCATGGGCTGCAGCTCATTCTTACAATCAGGGCCCTAGAAACAGAGTCATGGTAGCAAAGCTATTACATGTGTGGAGGGAACAGGAAATATTACTACTAAAATTTAGGTTCATAAATGGTTCTGTAGTTTATTTCATATTGCCTTTTCAGTTGCATAAGTTATATCATGCTAAGTGATAGTTTAAGATCTGCTGCAATTTATTTATCGTGCTGTCAGTCATAAATAACCATTAACTAACATTTTAACATAATTTTCAATTTATTACCCTCTCTCGTTCTATTTGTGCCACCTGCTGCATCAGGGAGCGAACACCTTTCCTTATAATTTCTGGGTCCACATCCATTACACCATCTCCTCGCCCTTCACCGTGGTCTTGAACTGCAACATGCCAAGGAGTGACAGATGCCTATTCATAAGATATTTTATTCTGACATGAAGAGGAAATTCTTACAGTGAAGTTTGCTACAACAGTTCTGACTTGTCACTCAAAGACAAGCTCATAATATAATAATAATAATAATATAAACCGGAGGGCAGTGAGTCGGGCCTTCAACACACCACCTAAGTCATCACAGTCATTACATCAGTCACATACATTCCACACGAGGCAGAATTTGACAACATTTTGAGTAGTAAGACTTCTGCATTTCCTTTATGGCAGTAAAACTACAGCAGGCAGGCTGACATGGATAACTGACAATAATCAAACATATCAATATTAGATATAAGCCCTAAGTGATAGCAAATATAAATATACTAACTGGAACAAAGTTACAGAATGCAAATACACAGTCTATTAGGTTCAATCTTATTTAGATATAAATATATGTGCACACACATCAAAGTGTTTGAACAGGACATGGACACAACTGCTTTCTTCCACATCCTTCCCAGTTCCCCGTTTAGCGATACTACTATGCTGTTTTGAAGCACTGAGCAGGTTGGCATAACAGTAACACTCCATTTAGATTTGTATTTGGGAGGTGCTCAGTTCAAATCTCACCCAGGACACCAGCTATCCTCAGTGAGGTTATTCAATTTTGTATGGTCCCTCCAGTCAAGTACCTCACTTAGGCCACAACCATTTCTTTCCAAGTTCTTTCCAATTATTCTCTAATCCTACCATTCATAGCTATACAGGATGAGATACCGACAAGACTCACAAAACAAACCACCACTACCATCATGACACCCCAAAAAACAAAGCTATACGATCTGAGCAGTTGGTACACTATTTAAGTAACCACTTTTTAATGTTCTGTTGTCACTACTTATAGTGACTGTCTATGGGCTGGATGACCAAGGGCTCTGAGTTTGAGTCCCAGTAGGATCAAGAATTTGTTCTTCTCCATGTCGTGTAGACCAGCTCTGAGGTCCACCAAACCTCCTATCCAATGGATACCAGGGGTTCTTTCCCCAGGGATAAAGCAGCAGGGGTGTGAAGCTGACCACTCACCTCTAACTAGTGCCATGGTCAAGAAAAATGTGGATCCCCCATACACCTTCATGGTGTAGTGCTTAACCCTTTTGCGCGGTGATTTAAATTCCGCTGCCGTGTCTCTCCGGCGGTAATATATTCAGCCGTCCATTTAAATTTTGCTCAAAAATGATTTATTCATCATTGTTCTTAAATTATATGAGATAGGATCATGAAACTTTCAATAAAATGATCTTAAAAGGTGGTTTTATAACCTTGCCTTATAATATGAGCGCCCGTTATCTCGGCAATGGAAGCAGTTGGTTTAGAATTTGAGCAGTGTATCGTACGCCTTGAAGCATGAAACTTTCACTAAAATGATCTTAAAAAATTGTTTTATAACTTTGCCTTATAATATGAGCGCCCGGTATATCGGTAGTGGTTCAGATTTTGAGCGGAGTGTTGCACGCATTGAAGCATTCTACTATACACAGCGCTGACTCACATCACCATACCAGTACTGCGTATCTCTCTCATTTGCTCTTTTTCCGTAAACAAAACATCTTCTGTGCGGCCTTGCCTTCCCCGTGGGGGGAATATAAGAAGAAATGTCTCTCCGTGAGTCGTATCCCTACCCAGATTAGCTGCAGTAAATTCAACCTTTATGTTATCATAACAAGTGTTGGTGCTTCTGCGTTTCATTTTCCATCCATTTTGGCGGCATAAGACGTCGTAGGGGTGACCACAGAATTCATGAAGTTATTCTAAGAACTGGCTGGTATGTAGTGCACGAAAGCAGAGCTGAACTGGCTCAAAAAAAATATTTATGGCCATCCCTCGAAACGACCACCAAGGTCAGTACGATAAAATGGAGTCAACTGGAGCGATAATACATGAAGGAATGCGTTCTTTTCCCCCTACACACACACACACACACCCATCGTCACAGGGGGTGACCACAGTGTTCTGCCTTAATTTGTGGCGTTTTTCTAAGAACTGGCTGCCATGTACTGTGCGAAATCAATCGATGTTGGAAGAATATATTTTGGATAACCCTCTTCTAAGAATTCCAATTGAGTGTGTTATTGTGGCCAGCTCAGGGCAATATGATATTATAAACACACGTCTCTGCTGTTTATAATTTCATAAGAAACAAAACAGGCCTTTCATGACAGGAGAACGGAGAAACCTCTCCCAAGATCAACAGGAACTTTGCTGCAAGACAGGCATATGTAACGATGACTTGGCGCAGATAAAGTCGTGTCTTATTTATACTCTGTTCTACTGACAACAGGCCAGCGAAAAATCTAACAATCTACAGCAAAATCATCAATTATTATGGGCGTTATAACGTAGGTGTGCAGCTGGACGAAACATACACGTCGAACCCCCCCAGACGATTTAAATCCCTGACGAAACATACACGTCGAACCACGGCAACGGGTTAATTAATTAAGCACAGGGACAACTTTACCTTTTACCTATGTTGTTACTACTTCCAACTTTAAGCTTGACAGCTTCTGTCTCAGAAATGGTGGAGTCCATTTCTAAGGTGGGAGCTCCTACAAAGTGAACTGCCCTGCTCTTGACAGCAGGATGATGAGGAAACTTACAGCTTAATATGAATTCTGAATCTTAATAGGAATCTCATAGTTCTCAATACAGCGTAAATTTGTTCACATTGGATATGATCTGTCTCTAACCCAAAACCTTTGACATTAAAATCCAATGCCTATCTTTATACACCAAATCAATTTTAAAAATTGTCTTAACCAAGTAATCAGCTATGGCAATATTACTTTCTTCCTGTGTTTAAATACTAATGGTGGGGTCATAACTCTGTACCTTTGGCAGGACTCCATCTTCTTGAAGGACTCATCAGTTTGTAGGGCAAAGTCACACTACCATCAAGTTGTATTCCTGCAATTCTTCTCAGTGTAGAGCCAACACTACTTAGTTTCTGCTCCACTTCCTTCTTGGCTCCTTCCAACTGCATTAACTGTGCATCCAGAGCACGTACTCGGCCCTCAGCTCCTCCCAAACGAGCCTAAAACAAGTAAACACTACTTAGTTTCTGGTCAGTTTCCTTCCAACTGCAGTAACTGTGCATCAAGATTGCCATCAGCTCCACTAAAAGAACTTTGAAATGAGAATTATTCATGTTATATATGTTACATAAAATACAAAAAAAATATTATTTCCGTATTCCGTATTGTGGGGGTGGGTTTCCCCATGCACTTAGACCGGTTACTGGTCCATTGTGCGTCCCCCTTTAATATCTACTGTCGCCATACCCTACCGGTACTGGTGCTCACTATCAGCCCCTTTCTGCCAGCGAGGTTCCAACCTCTTACTGGCAATGGTATCTAATAGTTAGTCCCTCTCTGTCAGCGAGGTAGTCCCTCCTCTGGCAGGGGTTCCTAGTCCCTTTCTGCCAGAGAGGTCCCCCTCCTCTGGCAGTGGTACCTGATACTTCCCCCATCTACCGGAGGAATTGGAAACTAGTTGGGCGGGAAACTTGGCCTAATTTTGCTCAGAGGTCTCCTAGAGACATGAGGTTCTTTTACGTGCCGTAAATCTACGACACGGGACCCATGGCTTAAAGTCCCTCCCGGATGACTTGTTCCCTGAATTTTTCCACCCTTAAAAATTCCACGACCTCCGCCGGGTTTTTGAACCCACTTACCTTGAATCATGAGGTGGGAACGTTACCCCTAGACTACAGAGGCCGCTAAAAAAAAATATTAAATTCAGCCAAAAGTAATTTCTTGAAAGAACTACTTATTTGTTAGAAAAAATCAGATTACATATTGTCACGTGTAGGGGTGTGACTATAGATGGGGTATTGATCGAATGAAGTGGATTTATTGACCACTTACATGTAGCACTCAGAACTACGCATAATTACAGCGCTGTCCCTCATCTACACACTTCACAGTTCACTGCTACACACACGCTATTGTCCTCAGTCTGTTACACTCTCCGCTAGTCGTTTCCTGGTAATACATTTTAACACAGGGACTATAAGTTTCACTGAATTACACAGTCCAAATATCGCGATACTATAGCACACAAAGTCTTCTCTTCACAGCCAGACTTTCAACTCCACCGAACTGCACTCAATAATTCTGATGTCTCAGTTCCTCAATTTACTTCCTCTGCTGCCAAGCTCATATCCTGGTAGGCTGGCATCCCGAGACTCAACAAACTTTCAGTTGCCATCTCTTCTCAATCATCTTCAACTGCTGACTCAAAGAGACTTCCCCAGTTTTCCTGACAACAACTGCCAACTCTGGAACTCTCAATCCAATTCTTTACTGCAAACGCCATCTATCTCATTGCCATCTCTTCTCAATTATCCTCGCCCAGCTCAACTCTGGACTAACTGCTCATGTGGAACTCGACTGACTACCTCAACTGAATTCTTCTTTATAACAACATTGCACAGACCAAACAGAAGACACCATTTTCACCAATAACCATGTTGTGTGTCTACCAATCAGTTGCTTCAAAACAGATTCTTCTATTGTTGTGTGCATGTTTATTTCCACAGGAACATATTTGCTGAGCTGTTGCCTAGCAATTAACTATTCTGGCTTTCAGGTGTCATGTCACAATATGCACTTGCACAGGTGACATAGCAGGATATGTAGCTGGCAGACTGACTAGTCTATGCACACATGTCAGTGACTCACAGGGACAGCTGATATGATGATTTCTATACCTCTCTAGAAACTGTGCACTGTGAAACCTTTCTAAGAGCCATCTGGAAAGAGGCAATCATGTTCAAGTGCAAGTGGTTCACCAAAAAAGAGTATGAAGATGAATTATTAAAACAAAACTCTGTGGCCTGTAGTCCACAAGCGAACTATACCAACCGAGTAACCACTGCTTGTCGGCGAAGTTAGTGTCAACATTTGCAGATAGAGGGTGTCACGTGATCAGCACAACAAATCCCAATGGCCGTTAATCTCAGTTTTCTAGACTGGAGCTGCTATTTCCTTCAAATAACTCAATTATCCTCACGAGGCTGAGTGGACCCTGTTTCAGACCCACTACTTCTCAGAAAATCTGGTAGCGCCGGGAATCTAACCTGCGACCCCCGGATCTGTAGGCAGAACCTATGACCACTAGACCACAGAGGTGGTCGAAGATGAATAATACTTAACACAAAACACTAAGTGTGAAGAATGCTGTCTTCTGGGATATGTCTTTATATAGTCTGGAGAAGTGTATTCATTGGATCCTATAGGGTTCTGATGATGTGTCTTCTATTACCTAGAATTCCAAACAATGGAAAAAGTCCAAAACCCAAGTAATTCTAAGTTTATTGATGTTTCAGAAGAATATTCTGCCTCCAACTTCAGGGTCAAGGAGTAAACCAAATAAATGAGCAGAAAGCAAAGTGACATGTGTTTTTACTATAAATCTGGACCAAAATAATTCCCATGGAAAAACATCTCTACTGATAATATGGGAGTGGATGGAAAAATAGAATTCACATTACAGAATTCCACAATATGGACATGTTTTCAGAAACAAATCCCTTCTGTGAGTAAAGTAATGTAAAAAGTTTTGGTGTCTATAACATGTCAATGTGACAATCAGGAATTAAGGAGGAAATTGTTTCACACAGCATATCTTAATAAGATCTAGATATAAACCATACATTACATTTCTTATGATGTTCTAACTGAACATGTTATCAGATTCATGTAATGTAGGGATTATATTCAACTGACAGGAACCTAAATTATATTCACCTGAAAACTTTCTGTGGAGATCCTCCCCATAGCACCATATTTTAACAAAATCCCTTCAGTAGTTTTGGAGAAAAAACAAATGGACACACAGATGGACAGATCATCATGAAAAAAAATATGAAAAGTATTGTTGATATATGGACAGAAATTTTCATGAGGGTTGGCCACTTGGGGATGGGGAGGGAAGAAGCAAATAGAAACACGTGTGGCAAATGGAAAATAGATAAAAAATGAAAAACAACCGTATATTTTCTCCATAAAGTAAATGTGAGCATAAAAATAAAGTCAACAGTATTGTAGCTGACCTCTGCTGCTTGCCTCTTCATTTCTTTAATTATGCTGTGTGAAACAAGACTTATAATGCAACTATTATTTGTAGAATGTTGCTTTGACCATCTAGTTCATGTTTTATACATGTTTATGACATCTTCTGACCATATATGGCCATCTTCAGGCATATGACTTGCATACACTGTTTCACTGCACATGTATCACTTTCAAGAATATGACAGAAATAGCAGCAAAACATACATACATCCATCCATCCAAAACTCTGCACAAGCACTAGCATCACAAGGAAATATTACTCCCAGCAGCCATGAACATTCAACAAGGGCTGTCCCTAATGAATAATACATGAAATTACATTTTAAGCAGTTTTTGTTAACAATTTCATTCACATTAACAAGGTCCGACTTGGACACAGAACTTTTATACTCATAACGCAGAATTTAATAATGGAATGATTATGGATGATGAACTGGAAAGGTTGGCCTGTTTTAAGGTACTAACCCACCATGTCACATGACAGGTTATGGAAAGCTACGTGAACACTTTCCCAGCTAAGGTTTAAATTTAGGTCCTCTCAAAAATGAGGCACAAGCCCTAACTATAACATTGTAATGTCTGGTGTAAATGATCTGGTCATTCAAATTCCACAAGGCATGATATGGAGTCAGGTACCTTCAGTTCCTGAATTTGCTGAGTAGCATCTGCCAGACAAACTTCCAAGTTGTGTTTCTGATCTTCAAGCTTCCTTTCTCTGCCACGACCATCCTCAAGTCGCACAAGCAATTCTTGTTCTCTGGCTCTCCAACGCTCCTCTTCTTCCTCTCCATGCGAACGCATTCGACTTAGTTCCTGCCTTGAAAGGTCAAGGCTTCCATCAAGCTCAACAATCTAAGTAAAACACAGCAAATACACCAAAGTTTGTAATTAAATAATCTTTTATGGACAAAAGGTTGTTAGTTCCATGCCCACTGCTGTGAAACATTATCCTTCAAGCTAATGACTAACTGAAGATTTGGAATGTTTGTGAATGAAGAACTGAATTAGAAGGAAAAGAATAAAACTACTTCAAGGAGCTTCATGTTCTGTGCTCAGCATTACAATTACTAAGGTGATTAAATCAAACACAAGATGTGTTGGGCACACATATCACAAGAAGCAAACAACATATCTATACAGAAATTCAAGTGGAAAAATTCATGGAAAGAAACCAGCTGGGAGACATAAGACACAAAGGTAAAGGTAAAGTTACCTATGGACTTAACTAATCAAGCACCATGCCATGAAGACATATGTGGGAGTGGAGGTACAGCTCCACTATTGTTAACCTAAGCACTAGATGAAGGTGAATGGTTAGCTTCATGGCCCTGCCAATTTACCCACTTGGGAAACAGCCCACAGTACCCAGTGTGAAGGCAACTCAGTGGGCCCCAGAGCTGGTCTGAACATTACAGACAAAAGAAAAATCTCTTGCTCCTACCAGGAATCGAGCCCTGATACCTTTGTTGAAAAGCTAGTAGCCTAATTGCTATCCTGACTGTGCTATCCCAACTCCCAATCTTGGATACACAGGCTGTGAAAATGTGGACTAGGTAACAAGAGCTCCAGTATTTTGTGGAAAAGGTGCAGAAGATGAAGCAATTTCTTACCTGTTTCTTGAGCTGATGCAATTCCTGCTGTGCTCTCTCCTTCTCCTCAATTTCTGTGGTAAGACGTGCCTGCAGTTCCTTCTCTTCATTCTGGATCTGAGTGCTGGTAGCATGGGACCTCTGCAACTCTTCTTGTGCACTCTGTAGCTGATGGGATGTCTGCAAATGCTGTCGCTCCAAGTCTCGAATTTGTGCCTGAAGACGTGCACGTTCTACTTCTAGACCAGTCTTTGCATCTTCCAGTGCTGCAAATGATATGTCAATAAATGCGTTAGTACCAATATGACAGCCATGCAATCTTGTGATGTGGAAACGTATTTGGAAGAGAGAAAATATAACCATATAACATCATCATTCTCCAAATACGCAATTATTTAGCATAGATAAGAGTAATAAGTGGCATCTCCAGGTGCTGAAAATATAGTACTTTCAAACAATCCATGGAAACCGGGAGAAGCAGACTGACCTGTCTGGTCAGTCTGCTTGTACCGGTTCTCACGGTCTCTTCACTTGCGGATTTCTTATTTTCCTTCTACCCTGAAGATGGAGGCGATACGTTCCTCCGAAACGTCGGTTAACACCACATCCCAGAAGACTGCTTTCTTCATAGTCACTGCCGTGAAAACCTCAAATCTTACTATCCATGGAAATACTAAATTATCTTACAAAACATAAAATTTATCGTGAGTATATGAGGACACCTTTTTTCCAGGTATTAAATTAGGAAAAAATTGTCATCTTTTAAATATTACAATAACTAGAAGCTTACCAGAAATTTTCTGGAAAGCTTCTTCCAGACTTCTTCCTTGCTCTCTCTTTTCCCCTTCAATCCTCTTCACGTAATCTCGGAGCTCCTTGTTAGAACTGTTGTACTTCTCTTTTTCATAGTTGCTGTCTGTCAGCTGCCTTCGTACATCAGTCAGCTCCTTGCGCAATGTTTCACTGCTGTTCTCAGCTGTGAGAGATTATTCATAAGTATCATAAAAATATACAGGGTATGTTAGTACAGCAGACCCATGCCAATCCAAATTAATTGCGGGGTTAGGTCATCCAGATTAATGAAGCAAAATATAGAACTAAAAGAAATGTAAAAAAAAAGAAGAAAACTTAGAAAACAAATAAATGGGAAATGTAATAATATAGGTAGTGTCAACAAAATAAATAAAAAAATATCACTGCAGCAATTTCTTCCTCTGTCAGAAGCTGAAATCCAGGGTCTCCTCCATCCAGTTCAAGCCAATCTGTGATATTTTCTTGCATGGTTTCAGTCTCTCCAGCTGCCTTCCAGCTGCAGCTGCACAGTCTGAAAGTCTTGCAGCTCTAATTCTTGCTCCTAAATCCCATGCATCTTTAAAGTATGTATTCACTGTGAACATATCTTTCATTTTTCATATTTCGACCTGGATTATTTGACATCCCAATTAACTGTATTCGGATTAGTGAGGGTTTACTGTAATGGAAAAGATGCTTTTAAATTATATTTTGCTTGTCTTTCTCTTGTCTGCATTTACTGCTGGGCACTTAGATCCTCTATGCAACAAGCAGCCGTGGATAAACAGACCAATACAAGTGGTTTCAACTGAAGATATATATATATATCTTTATTGAGTTATGTAGAAAACTGATCACATATAATTAGAATGATTAAGTAAATAAGGATGAGATGTGCAAGGCATGTAGCACACATGGGGGAGAAGACGCATGTGTACAGAGTTTTGGTGGGAAAGCCAGAAGGAAAGAGACCACTATGAAGTCTTAGACATAGGTAGGAGGATAATATTAAACTGCATCTTCGAGAAACTGGATGGAATGGTAAGGAATGGATTCATCTGGCTCAGGGTAGGGACCAGTGGTGAGCTCTTGTGAACACAGTAATTTACCTTTGGGGTTGGGAAATTCTTGGGTAGCTGAGTAAATGGATGATTCTCAAGAAGGGCTCAGCTCTATGGAGTTAGTTACTTAGTAAAAAAAACTGATAGAGTGAAACCTTCCTTTAACCTTTATCGGACGAACGTCATCATATGATGTCATTAAAAGTTAGGGCAGCTGGCCGAACGTCATCATATGATGTCGCGGATTCCACGCGTGTAAGGTTTTTTTAATATTATATTAAAAATATAAATTGTTGTTCTATTTACATGATTTTTGGTCACCACCTTTATAAGGAGACAGCCTTCGTTCCTGCATGATCTAATGTAATCTAGGGACGTCATATGACGTTAAAAGTAAGGACAAATTTAAGAACGACATCATATGATGTCGCGCATACCAC